TGACTCGGCCCGCAGGTGAAAGAGCTTAGGGGATTGGCTGGTGCCGGTTACCAGCGGAGTCTCCGCCGATATGCATTGTATCTGTATCTGCTGGGAATACTGCCTGATTTGGAAGCAGTTCCCGCAAGGTAAATTCAACTGATCGAGTTCTTCAAGTTGATGACAGGCATTATTCAGTTAGGAGGACAGAGAATCTCAACAGCCACATTAGTGAAGCTGTATTGATGTGATGTTGCTGGAAGTATCTCCAGTGCGTCGTTGGAATATTTTAGTTGTGCAGACGGACGCAGATTCGAACCAGCAGCTCTGGAACAAACACGAAAAAGTGGACATTCCCTTTTATGGAAGGTAACGGAGATTGACTCAGCAATTGCCTACATCCCACCACTGACTGCGCACCGGCCTTCCATCTCACAAACGTGCACCTTCCCCCGCTCGACCATCTCGTCGCCAACCCCACAAAATTTCCCATTCTTCACCTCATTCCGCCGACCACCAGTATCCCTCTGCAGACACCTCTGCAGACAAGCTATAGCAGACTCCATCTTCAATTCACTTACACTCTATTCGCCCATCGTATTAATCCTGCCCACATCACCGAACGCGTCGACAAACCTCGCACCAAGCCACGCCTGCGCACGCCATTGCTTTTATCCACGTTGTCTGAGGTGTGAAGGCGAAGCAGACTGGCAACCTCTGTAGCCTAGTGCTGGAGGAAAGGGGATGTTCACGAGGCCATTCGCAGCTCCGTAATCCGCATCTCCCAAACACCCATGCTGCAAACAACTCTTCCTTTCTCGACAAAATTCTCCTAGGCCTCCCGAAACCTCCGCGAGTCGCCTCCGCCTTCGCAAGGTGCCCCTCGTCGAAACAATGTCTTCCTTCCTAACGCCCACCAAAAAGTCCCAAAAGCCGGCTGCTAAGTCGAAGCCTTTCCAACCACCGAACCGCATTCGAGCCATTCGCGAGCAAGCCGAACGCCAGCAAGCCAGCGCCGCCGCCGCCGCAGCCAACGCTGCTGCTCAGGCACAACAGAACCGAGCAAGACCACCTACTGTCGCCATCTCGAACCGCCCACAATGTCCGAACAAGGCCTGTGTCAAGCCCAATGTCGTCGATGGCATCTGTCAAACCTGCGGTCGTGTCGCCGATGACAGCAACATTGTTGCCGAAGTTCAGTTTGGCGAGACTTCTTCCGGTGCTGCCATGGTACAGGGAAGCTATATCGCCGCCGACCAAGCTGGCGTGAGGAGCATGGGCCCGGCCTTTCGCCGTGTTGGTGGTTCCGACGACAGAGAGAAGACCATCCGCGAGGCTCGCGCCCTGATGCAGGGTTATGCTCAGCGCCTTAATCTCAGCGATAACACTGTCAACACCGCTGTGCAGTGTTTCAAGCTTGCCTCCCAGTCAGGTTTCACACAGGGTCGAAAGATCATCACCGTCGCAGCTGTCTGCCTCTACGCTGCATGCAGAATGGAAAGGCCGTGTCGCGTTATGCTTATCGATATTGGCGACATTATCCAGGTCAACGTGTTTGTATTAGGAAGAACCTTCAAAGCCTTGACCAAGACTCTTTGCCTCTTCCCAAGCGGAGAGTCTCCGGTCTTCCCGGAAGACATCATCTACCGATTCGCCTCCAAGCTCGAATTCAAGCATATGACCAATCGCGTCGCCGAGGACGCTGTCCGCCTTGTCCGTCGCATGAAGCAAGATTGGATTGTCATGGGCCGTCGTCCATCCGGTATCTGTGGAGCGTGTCTTCTGATGGCTGCTCGAATGCACAACTTCCGGCGAACCGTTCGGGAAGTTGTATATATTGTCAAAGTCACGAACCACACCATCCAGGAACGTCTCGAGGAGTTCAATGTGACAGAGACCAGTAAAATGACGGTGGAAGACTTCTTGTCTCAAGATTTCGGCTCTAGCTCTCATGACCCCCCGTCTTTCTACCGGAACACCGAGGCTTGGCAAGCGCAGCAGGCAGAGCTTGGCAAGAAGCGGAAGCGAACTATCACAGACGACGGTGATAACAACAGGACGACACCTGCGCCCTCTCTGCCACCGCCTGATTTATCTGCAGCGCCGACTATTGAGTATCGTCGAGATAAGGACGGCTACATTATCCCCCCTCTCCCGTCCAAAATTGCCGTCAACGAGCCGGCTTTAAGGGATGCTAACAGCACCCAACATCTTGAGGGCCTGGCTCAAGAATTCGGCGACGCGGAGAAGGAAAATGAAGAGTCATCACAGCCGGATGCTGGCAGTGAAAAGACGCGGCAACCGAAGCCGTCGTTGCCAATCAACGAAGAGTGGGAGGAAGATGAGGCAGAGATGGAAGATCAGATCTCGGAAATTATGAATGATCCCGAGACCTACGAGCACGCAAAAGCTTTCAGCAACGCCGAGCAGCGAGCTCGCATCCACTCGATCTGGGCCCTCCAGCAGCAACCAGACAAGTCTGTCTCAATGGCGCCCGAGGTTGGCGAAGACGAGTTCGCCGATGATCCTGAAGTTGCGAACTGCATGTTGACTCCTGATGAGATCAAGATCAAGGAGCTTCTGTGGGTCAATGAAAACAAAGACTGGCTGCGCGCATCGCAGGAGCGTCTGTTCCGCAAGAAGCTGGAGGAGAAGAAGCCTAAGAAGGATCGCAAGCGGAAGAAGCGTCCTCGTATTGGCGAAGGCCAGACGACACCTGCTAGCACACCAGGCGAGGCTGCTGTGAATGTCATGAAGGAGCGTGGTTTTTCGAAGCGCATCAACTATGAGGCTATCCGACAGATGTTCGACGTCGCTGGTCAAGGTGACCCGGGCTCCCGGCCTGAGAGTGAAGCTGCGAGCCGTCCTACGAGCAAGGCGCCTAGTGTCGTGGACGACCACTACGACGAAGAAGAAGAAGAAGAAATCGAGCCCATTGATGGCGACGGGGGCCATGAGCACCAAGACGACGAGTACGGTGGTGGGGATGACTACGATGACATGGGCGACGAATCCCACATGTACGATGAGGACGATCAGGGGATGGGTGAAGACGATGACGACGACGACTTTGGTCTCAATGACGACGATGAGTGAGCATACTCAGTCGCGCAATGTCTTGTCTTTTAGGAATTGGGCCAATCGTGGAGGATGGCTTGCTTGTAGTTGATACCCCATGAGCTTCGAATATGTCGAGGCCCCGGCTGCGCTGCCCACACACATGATTGCGCGTCTTATGGATAGAGCATCTTAGACCAGAACAGCAATCTGCATAGACTTTTTGGCAGGACCTGTCGACTCAACTGGCGTGTTTGTGATATTCACTGCCCCCAGCATCTTCACCATCAGCTCCGATGGTTTGAAAGCTACCCCGCTTCCGCACTTGCGACCGAGCATCCTTTTAGACGATCCCTGACATCCATAGTGTTGTGAAATCACAAAAGCTACCATGTCAACGAGTCACAAGATTGGAAATTGCGGACGCACCTAGCTTCCTTCACCTGCCTTTCCGGCTGTCATTGAATTCCGGCATGTCCAAGACACCGGGCCGTCCACGACCCACCCTGTTCCGGCCGGACGGACATTGAAACAGCCTTCAAGCACCCGCAGCCATCGCCCCTCAAGCCTTCTTCACTGTGACTTCGAACTTACACCGCTCAGATACCAGAGGCTATCGCTACAGCATCAAGGGCTTCTAGCTCTCGCATCGCCGACGGAGAGGCCAGACAGGCCCTTCCTTCGTGCGTGCGGGGCTTCTTGTCCAGTCAGTCGACCCCGGCTTTCATCGGAAAACAAAGGATACGGCCGGGTGGCGCAATGGCAGCGCGTTGCTTTCCGGTGGCAAAGGTTCTGGGTTCGAGTCCCAGCTCGGTCGATTCGATTTTTGATCCCCTTGGGAATCGTCCGTATCCTTTTGATAGACAATGGTAATCAACTTGAATGAAGTTTAGAGGGTCAGGGTGGCTAGACTTGCTTTGTTTTGACTGTCAATTAGTGGGTCTGTGGTATGCATTGCAATAGTTTCCCAATTGCAGCTGCTTACACACACATCCTGATTCAACTGGTCTTGCAGAAGATGGAGAACTACGTGGTAATCAGGCGTATAGGATCTTGGAATAGGGCTTTGGTCTCTGCGTCTTCCTTGGGAGGGGTCACATAGAATTGACTTCATTGCTATCTGGTGTCTTTCTTGTCACTTACCATCAATCTATTGGGGCATGTGTTGACGGTAGGTATCTCGGACCATTCTGATCAAGTGTGACTGACAACTCAATGACGCGACCTGCTCTCTCGTTCCCATAATCGCCAGACTCTCTAGAATTAGACTTGACATTGTCACTTCTTTGTCACTTCGATTGAGTTCATTTCTTGTGATCTTTTCTGCCTGGCTGTGCGTTGAGTAACAGCTGAGGTATGAAAATACCAGACGTTCAAGGGCGAATTTGGCATCACTTGAAGGACTGTTTGAGTTGAAGTATGCTCACAAAGATGAGTTTAACTGTACAGTAGACGAAGACCCCCAAGTTTACGAGATTGTGGAAAGACCGGAGTTGGAAAGGCGAAATGGAGCTGGTCAAGTAACTGGTAATTTATCTCAATCGATGTTGTCTTTAGACTTTGCCAATTGGTGTGACAAAGTCCTCAAAGTGTATGAATGTAGGCTGCCGCCCTCAGCCACCCGAATCTCAACTGCCCTTCACATATTTCGTCAGAACAGAAGGAAATGACAAACCTGCCATCGCATCCTCCAATGTCAACCGCCTCATTAGACGAAGTAAAAGCTCGGAGGAACCATTGGCTCAGGTCCAAAAAGGCTAAAAGCCCGCCAACTCGCACCAACCATGACGTCCGGCCGCCCTCACAGTCAGCCAGCCGCCCCGAGTCGCGAGAAAAAAGGCCAATGCCGGAGCCGGACTGTGTTTACGCCGTCCAATGGCGGGCGTTTGCGCACCTCCTCTCGTGTCGGGCAAGTCACATCGGCAGGCACCTTGCAAGGCTTGCATGAGGGGAAAGAGGGCAGATCAGCGGGGGTGTTCAGGGGGGAGGAAGGGCGGAATCTGGGGTAAGATCCCTGCGCTCCTCGGCTTGGAGGTGTCGTGAACTGCTGGCTGAGCATGTGTTCGTGATGGGGACGACACGGGTAGGTGTTTGTTCTGGGGGGTTGCTGAGGCACGTTGGGTAGATGAGCACATGGGGTTCTCGGCCGAGGGGGCATGTGAAGCTTTCTGGCTTCCAGGATTGTGACGGCACGATCCTACGTCGCCTAATTCTTGATGTGGTAATTGAGTGTCCTTGACCGATGGTGTTTGCGGGGGAATATTACCTTGATGGAAGGTCGCTAGATGTTGAATAGGTGTGATAGGCGGAGGAACATGAGCCAACATGCAAGCTAAAATGTAGTTAATGTGATGAGAACAACGATGATGTTCTGGAATCGTACGAGCAATGAGTATAAAGAGCTGGTGGAGGTCGCGATATTCGGATTGGTGTCTCGGTCAATCAGCAGTCTTAGATCCAGATTCAGATCCATACTTTTCTCAATACTCAAGCAAAGCTCTCGGCTGTGTTAGTCCACAGAGACCTCGACCACAGACAACATGCTTCTCAAGTTCTCCCTCCTCGGCCTCTTCGCCACCTCAGTCCTCGCCGACGGCGCCGCCATCGTGGCCGCTATGGATGAGATCGCGGCCCAGAACACGGAGCTGGGCGACACCGTGTCGTCCTGGGATGGCGGCCTCTTCGGCACGCTCCCCATCATCATCGACTCCACCAAGCTCCTCATCAAGATCAACGAGGCCACCAAGGTCGCCGAAGACTCGGAGCCGCTCAGCGCCCTCGAGGCCATCGGGGTGGCGCAGGCGACGCAGAAGCTGTCGAGCGGCGTGCAGACCACGCTCACCGCCGTCGTTGACGCGAAGCCCAAGTTTGACAAGCTCCTGCTGAGCCCGGTCATTCTGCTCAACCTCAAGTCGGAGCAGAGCGCGACGGACAAGTTCAGCGCGGCTGTCATTGAAAAGGTCCCCGAGGCGTTGCAGGCCTTCGCTAAGACGCTGATTGAGCCGATTGATACGGCGTTCAACAATGCCATTGACGCTTGCAGCTGAGTCAATGCATCGGCCGGCTGGAATGCTTATGAGCGAGGGGATTGGAAGAGTTATTTATAATGAGGAACGACTGCTGTGAGGTTGGGGCGGGCTTGAGAAGACGGGATGATGAATTCCTTCTTGTACATACTTGATGTCTTTCGACATATCTTCATGCAGAGCAAACGCAAATCTAGAGTCTTATCTCACCCATCGTTACGGCTCCCAAGCGCGGACCAATGTATCGTCACAGGATTGAATAGGTAATGCAAGACAGACACACAGTAACGGCACAAGGTAGGAGATCATGATTTTCATTGATACGAAACTAGGAAACAGGTTGCCGCTGCAGACCGTGAGAGGGAGACTCTTTCCACCAACAAGAATTGGTCGGTTGTATGGGGCTGACTTTGTTCGCTCTTCAGACACTTGCTTTCAAGGTCTATAACTTTTGCGCTTTTGTCTACCGTCATTCCCGTCGATTCGACGGGGAGTGTAAGAATGTGTAACATAAGGAAACAAGAAGGGCACCGATAGCCAATGTGTATGAGGCCAGGGATGGCAGGTGCCTATTACTTGAGGACACCTTGCCACGCCATCCTCAACCGTTTTTTGTCGCATTAAACATGCCGGATTAGTCAAACGCTACGGCATCGGCTAGATGTGTAGCAAGTTGACATCCGAGATGCTGCGATGGCGCTTGTGGCCCATGGGCATCTCACTGGATGCCTTGCGTTTTTGTGACATGGACTCTAGAGGACTGCGCGCTGCGTCACGCATCTGCTTCTTGGATCGTCGAAGGGGCGTCAAGGGAACGGCTGCAGTTTCGAAGCGATCTGACTTGAGACCACGCAGGGCAGTGTAGTTGTATGGACTGCTTAGGGCGAGGGAGTCTTGCGTGGCCTTGTCGCTCAGAATGAGACGTTGGTTGATCTGGTCGCGACGGAATGCTCCCACGTTGGTGGCGTTGATGTGGGAGTGGAGGTCAACATCGCTGGAAGCGGTGCGTGGTCGAGCAGGGGTAGAGTTCAGGGGATCGGCGTCCCACTGGTTGTCCTCGTCTTCATCCGCAGAGGACCGGCCCTCATCGAACTCGATGAAGTCGCTGATGTTTAGAGACTTTTCAACCTCGTCATCCTCCTCCTCATCGAATCCAACATCCGAGCTCTCATCGGCAGTATTGGGTTCGGACTGGAAGGGGAAGAAGGCCTCGGTAGGTCCCATGGCCTGAGTGTTGAGGTAGTCACCAAAGGTATTGGATGAGAACATTGCACTCATCATAATCTGTGCAGAACTGCTCATCATGGGAGAGGGTTGGTTCTCATCAATGGGGGCCAGAAATTGGAAGTTGAACTGTTCGGGGGACAGATCAAGCTGACGGCGACGATGGGGAGTGAAGATCATCATCTTTCGTGAGATGGGGTTCACAACAGCAATGGGCTTCCGCTCAGAGTTGTCGAGGTTGAAGCGGCCGACACGCGGCTGTCCACGATGGCCCTTGACCGGATGATCCGTGTCAGAATCATCCCACTGATCCGCGGAGGGTTCGGGACGCTTAATCTTGCGGCGGACAACTGGCTCCGGCTCATCTTCTTCAGTGGTATCACCATCAGCTAGTTGGGCGAATTAGCAATCACACATTCTCATGATTCTTGTCACAAAGAGCAAACTCACTCTCGTAGCCGTCTAGCTCTTGGGTTTCCTCAAGCGCTGCGACCGGAGTGGGCATCTCAGAGAGTTCGCCGGTGGTCATGGGAGTAGCAATTGGCGTATCATCATCGCCGAGTTCCTGAACGACAGCCTCAATATCCGAGTCTGCGTCAGGGGCGTACCCATAGGCTCCATGATAATCGCCATGGTAGTCCCAGAATGAATTTGAGTTTTCAGACTCGTCGTTTTCATCATCCTTTTCAATCTCGCGACGGAAGGCCGGATCGAGAGAGCTCTGATCGACAAAGATGTCGGGGAAGAAATCGGCATGATCATCTTCCGTATCGGTGGAGTCGGAATCACTCGAGGGAACATCAAAGCGCACGTGGCGCTCCGCAGGACGGTGGTGGTGATCAGAAGCAGCACTTTCGTCAACCTCTGACATGATGCCATCCCAACTGGCGGCATCCTCGATGTCTGCTGCGCCATCATCTTCGTCTTCTTGCTCCTGCTCCTCCTCTTCGTCTTCTTCTTCGTCGTCATCATCGTCATCATCGTCATCATCCTCTTCTTCTTGGACAATGGGCGGCCGGGGAGGAATCGGGATGCTGGGGATAGGTAGCACCTCGTGGAGAATATGTTCCTCCTCGGCCGCGTCGACATCTTCCTCGTCATCGTCAGAAGAATCACTAATATCTTCGACAGCAGAATATCCTCCTTCGTCAGACAGGTCGAAGGACGACGAAGAGGTAACAGAGTCGCGACGCTTAGCGGCTTTCCTCGAGGCCGAAGAAGCCTTGTTGCGAACGTTGCGTGACATGGTTGGTGGTGGTTAGGCAGGGGTTGAAACCCAATATGGTAGTATTCGGAGGGGTGGGAGTTTGTCTGGATAACCGGCGCTAATCAATGCCGTGCGAATGCTCAACAATGTGTATAGTTGTGTATTGTATGTGATTTGCTCTCTTGGTGAGCCTTGTTTGTAGGCAGGTCTAGGGCGACTGAATTATCGTGTCTTAGGTCGGATAGAGGGAGGGGTCGTGGTAGTCGGACTAGGTGGAGGTGAAATTATTTTCTTCAAGCGAATAGGCTTCTCGTAGCCCGGTGAATAGTGGGCTTGTTGATCGATTCTAGTGAAAAGCGATGCAGACTTCCGTCAATGGGCCAGAGACGTCCTCTCAACGAGGGCTCTGGACAGTGAAAGCCTGTTTGAACTTCGTCGGGAAACAGAATGGATTGAATGTCTCGATGGGCTGCTGGACTGCAGAGGTGCCTGCGCAGGGGCACCTCCGCAGTGGGCGTTTACAGCTCAGCGAAAGCGGCGGACATGATTCTCGACGAAGTTTGTGTTTGTTTCTAGATCCTTTTCAAGGTTGTAGGGCGACTTCGTTGTCTCGTGGGGTTAAATTGGTTTTGATGGTTGAGATGGAAGAGAGGAAAAAAAGAGGGAAGAGGACGAGAGGCACCGGGATTCCGAAAATAATATGGCTCCCCCAGTCGCCCCGTCCTTGGGTGTGGAGCACCCAATCGAACTTTTTTTTTTTTTTTTTTGGTGGGCTGCTACGCTGTAGGTACGTAGTGTGGGATACGTACCTACTGGCTGTTGCCGTTTGTCGCCCAAACTTTTTCCTCCGTGCCTCCTTCTCCATGTTGAAAGTCTCCCGTTTTGGTGGGGTCTCAAGGTGTGGGAATCTGCGGCCCTGCGTGCCTGCCCACTGCTGCCATTGCCTGGTACTCTGGTTCGCTGAGAGTGGGTAGCGAGACGGCGCTATCCCTCATCCGGCGCGCCGTCACCGCCTTTTCGCGGTCTGCTCCCCCCCCCGGTGCTCCTACAATTGCCCTGCAGGCGCTGAGAATCCGCTGGAGATACGGCGTCATTTAGTGGATAAAGTCAGTAAAATGTGGAGGAAAGGACCCTGTGTGGAAAGGTTAGCAACTGCAAGTCAACCGCGCCCCTCTTCGCCTCGAACCTGGTAGGTGCCTTTCACAGGCGGCAGCACGCACAGCACAGCACGCAACCGTGGCAGCAACGTCGACCTCATTAAACCATTTCTGCCCCTCCCTCGACCTGTGTCACCTCACTGTACCTATTCCAAGTTCTTCCAGGCACATACTCCGTAATGGACTTTGACCCCTCCATCTGTCGTCACCCGTCAGGCTGGTCCAGATCGAGGGGGAGGGGGGACAAGCTGATCCTTCCTCCATTGTGGCAGATCCAATATCTAATCCTTCCCTCATGACCCGCCGAACACCTCTTGGGCGTACACACTGCCGTGACTGCGTAGGCTCTTCTCAGTATCGAGAGTTGTTTGTCGTAGTCTTGCTGATCCAAATGGTTGACCATAGCGGAATAGGGAGGTGGTCACCATCCATCGTACACCGCAACGCAGCGTTGACGCTTCATCCATGAACAGCGGCAAATCCAGGTGCCAACTGGGAGCAACCCATAGGCTACTACTCGAAGATGGGGAGAGGCGCAGCTGTGGCCTCAAGATTGTGCATTGCGGTCTCCACAGGGTCAAGCTCCTGACTCCTGAGTTCTGCCTCTTGAGCCTTGACAAGCACCAAGCAAATTCCTCTCACGTAACCCCACTCACTACTCCATAGTGTAGGTATTACTGGCCATATCTGTACTTTGCAGTTTCCCATCACCCAATGCATCTGTATCCGTACAAAGTATCCCTATTAGCTCGGGATATGGCCCACCGCTTGCCTGCACAGGCATCTGTCTTCCAGCATGCGTATTAGGTAGGCGGTCTCCTGATTCGCCTCGGCTTGCAAGGTCGTCTGTTCGAGGCGCATCACCGAGGGGCAGTCGAGGGGCCAACTCATCAGTCTACGTCTCAAGACCAACAGCCACTTGAGCACACCGTAACTTCAGTCATCCAAAAGAGTCATTGAACATCAGTTGCTCTGTTTGAGAATTGTTGAGTCACCTGTTGACTCCTTCCTATCTGTGGGAAGCGTAGGTACGCCATACTCTCTGATACATATCTTGCAAGGACCTTACAGTGGAAGACTCAAAGTCAAGAGTCCTTTTCAGATACGTAGCTTTCGGAGGGGTCATCCAGATTCAGGTTTGGTAACCAGCAGATTGGGAATAACCCGTAGGAAAAAAGGGTAGGTATTCGAGCTCCGGCCTAGGCGGGCTCAAGGCTCCTCGGAGGTTCGGTGCTGCCCGTAGTGTATTCGTAAATTTTTTTCAACTTAATCCAACCACAATCCACCCAAAGGGCCCAGTGCTTCATGTTCAAATTTTCCAACCAGTCATGCGGGAGGAATTGGGATCAGCCTTGGATGGCACTGGTCCGCGTTGTCTGACTTTCTTGTCGTCCATGACTCACTGACGGGAAATGAGGGGTTGACGAGCCGGATGATGCCTGTGCATCCCTCAAGTATTTGACCTACGAGCCTGAGTAAAACTTTGATCGAGGGGCTATTACATGCAAGAACGCAGAGCTCTGTATAAGGAATAGAGAGCTGCCATAGCGGGCATAGGTAGCTCTTCTCATGCCTACAACAACTGCAGTAAGAGACTTGGTCTATGTCTTCTGCCTAGGCTTGACCAGTCAACCTACCTAATGATCGCCCCTGTGGTGACTACACACTTTAATGGTCTGACTCAAAGTCAATGACCGAGGGATAGGTAATGCTGCCACATTCAGGAACAAAGACACAAAATTGTCTGACAAGTCGGGCCGTATGTACTTAGTGCAGTGCCGCTGTTGAGTCTTGACAACGGATAGCTTCCAGAAAGGGCGCCTCGCCATAATTACCGACTAAGCCAAGTGAGCAAAAGGAGACGTGAAGTTGGACTGGACCTGTGAATTCCCAGCTCGAGGTCCTCCCACCATCGGTCGGACCCGGCGCCTACATGCAGTACGTACCTGTAGCCGGGCCCCACTGGGGACTTTGTCTCAGCGGGGAGCACCGTGCAAAAAAAAAGTTGGTGGGGGTGAGATCAGATTTCTGCCAGGGGCCAGGGACATCAACGTGCACGTCCCTATTCTCACGGCTTATCTAATCCGGCGACTCGAACTCGCTTATCTTATCTCGTTGCCCGGTCATCGCAGTAAACAAGGATTGTGTCTCTTTGTCCCATCGGCATCATTCGCGACCCAGACGACCCAGCTTTAGATATTCAACCTCGACGAAGAGCATCAATCACACGACAATCGCGTGTCTCCGAGCAGAGACATCACCAATCTACTCAATCCACACCGGAAGAACTTTAACAACATAGCGAAGGATGGATTCCGCATTACCGCAGAAGTCGTCGGCAAACCTCTTCCAGGTATATCTGCGCTTGAGACCGCCCCCGGCTGGTGCAGCTTCGTCCGACAGATTCGTCGATGTCGAAGAGTCCCACGAGGGCTCGCATCCAACCCATATTACACTGAACCCTCCCAATGACCGCAAGCGATCGACAGAAAAGTTTGCCTTCACCAGAGTCTTCGAAGAAGAGGCCTCTCAGCTCGATGTTTTCCACTGCACAGGAGTGGCCTCACTTGTTGAGGGTGTCTTGGCTCCTCATGGTGGACATGGTACCGATGCTCTGATCGCTACTCTGGGCGTCACTGGATCAGGAAAGGTAGTCTCGAGCTGTATTCGGTAACCCATCTTGGCTTACTTGTGCTAATAAATTGTATAGTCGCACACTATTCTTGGCTCACGCTCAACACGAGGCATGACACAACTTGCGCTCGACGTCGTCTTCAGATCAATTGGCTCCAACATGTACGACTCACCGACTTTGGAGAGCTCTCTCCAGTCCTCAGATGCCTCGGATGCCACCATTATATCCGCACCGTGTTTCCTCGAGACTGTCTTCGCAGACTTTGGCTCATCCCGCGGGGGAGGTTCAAGGGCGGGAACACCGATGCTTGTAGGACCCCCTGTTCATTTCGTCGAATTTCCCTTTCAGCCTTTCGCACACAACGAGAGGCAAAAGCGATTCCAGCAGCCAGTCGAGTTGACAGGCGTGCGTCTTGTGCCGTCGACACCAGACCATCCAAGGGGCAAGCCTCGCGATCGCTTTTCCACGCCAGTGCGGGAAGATTTCAAGATTCATGAAGACGTCGCTGAAAAGCACTTCATGGCTGTGACTACAGCATCCAAAGTAAAGAACACAGCTAAACAACTAGTGAAGGGTGAACACGGTCCTCCTCCAACCCCTCGACGCGCCCTGCAGCGACCCTCAGCTCTTCCCTCAGCTCCTGACATTAGCTCCGTCAACGTGTCTTCGGACCCCGATTCAGACTATGCCGTTGTATTGTCCATGTACGAGGTCTATAATGACAAAATTTACGATCTTCTAACCCCGCCCATCAAATCTAACGCTACAAAAGAGTACCGGCGTCGGCCTCTACTCTTCAAATCAACCGAGCAGTCCTCCGATAGGAAGGTTGTGGCTGGACTGAAGAAGATTGCGTGTACGACCATGAGAGAAGCTATCATGGTATTGGAGGCAGGTTTACATGAGCGTCAGGTTGCTGGAACTGGCAGCAATAGTGTCTCCTCACGCAGCCACGGGTTCTTCTGTGTTGAGGTGAAGAAAAGATCCAGAGCAGGGCGCTACCGATCTTGGACCGGCAATACTCTGACTATTGTTGACTTGGCTGGCTCTGAGCGTGCCCGAGATGCCAAGACGCAAGGCGCAACTCTCGCCGAAGCCGGCAAGATCAACGAGAGTCTGATGTATCTCGGTCAGTGTCTCCAGGCACAAAGCGGTATGGGCAACAGCAGCAAGGTACGTCAAGTCGGATGGAGACCATCAACCAGGACAAATCTAACGCGAAACAACATAGCCTACTGTCATGCCATTCCGACAATGCAAGATGACTGAGCTTCTATTCTCAAACTCCTTCTCGGCGTCGTCTTCATCATCTGCGGGTGTTGTGCCTCGTCGGAATGCCCAGCGAGGCATTATGATCGTCACTGCTGATGCACACGGCGACGCGAATGCGACCTCGCAGATTCTCAGATATAGCGCCCTCGCTAGGGAAGTAACGATTCCTCGGATTCCCAGCATTACATCGACTATTCTGGCCGATACACCCTCATCAGCGCACCCGCCGTCAGGAATGAGATCCCCTGATTTGCCTCCACAGCGCCGAGGATACTTTGGCCATGGATCGTCTGGCCATCGCAACTTCTCTCCAAATTCAGATAACGGAGACAGAGTGCTCATGGAGCATGCGGCGCTGGAAATTGCTCGTATGCAGGAAGAGATAACCAACCTTCACGTCGAGCTAGACAACGAACGCGAGATGAGAGTTACCGCTGAAGCACATCTGCTCAGCATGGAAGACAGACTGCTGGAGCTAGAGCAGACAGTACGCGAGGATTGCATGGCTGAGTTTGACGCTCGCTTCGAGTTAGAGCTGGCCCGCTGGAAAGCAACTCTTGCTGCAGAGCAAGAGAAGGGCGAGGAGCACTGGGATCGTAAGATGGAGCTTTTCGAAAAGGGGCTTGGCCTAACAATCGACGACGAGGCCGGCGAGGACAAAGAGAATTTACTCGTCGAGGACCTTGAAGACGAGAACGAAAGACTTCGACGCGAGAACGAGATCCTGAAGCGGGAGCTCGCGCAAAGAAGCCCGAGCAAGCGGAAGCCGCTCCAAGAACGCGAAGACTTTGGTGTCCGCAAAGGCGGCGCCACTGGTGTGAGCAACCTCGGTCGCAAGATGGAGCAACTACGCGTTAGCAACGAAAGTACTGGTGGCAGCTCGGGGAGTCCCAAGAAGATGCGGAAGCTCGCGACGAAGCGATGGGAGACGGTTGCCGACGATGACTTCTGATTGACTGCTTTGTACCAATTCTCTGGGGAGTTGTCTGCGCTGGAGGTTGCGCTTGTTTCTTCGGCATATACCCATGTTGGACCCTTCTTTCGTTTTCTGTCGGGATTGGCGTTGTTTTCAGGACAGGAGTTTGATGTTGCAACGAGTCTGAAGGATAGACGACTGTTTTACTACACTACTTAATTCACTTATTCTCAAAAGTACTGGTCAGCCGTTCTCTTCAACTCCGCCTGCCGCAGCTAGCAGAGACAACATGACGTGAAATCCTGATAACAGGAATTCACGTTCAAATCACTTTTAATCCGCCTCCATCTCAACGGCATGCTTGACCTGAATAAAAACGGAAGGCATCTGCAACCCTCTGCCAACCCAAGCTTTGTTCAATCTTCAACAGTGATGAAAGCTGTCTCACGATCTCAGACACACTAGAAACACCGGAAACTCCCCGGGGAAAAAAAAGATAGGTATCAAATTATTAGCCCTCCTCAGCGTCCATGTCGTCGTGACGCCTCTTGTTGCCCTTGCCTTTCTTCCCACCCTTGAGAGTCGAGCCCTTCTTGCCTTGGTTTTCCATCAGATTCTTCATCTCCATTCTGGCGTGTCTTTGTGCCTCCTCAACGCGACTCTGGAAGACCATGACCTCGTCCTTTTGCGTGGGGTACTCGGTCAGCTTCTTGCCGAGGGCGGCCTCGATTCGCAGATAAATTTCGAGGTCGTATTGTGTGACTAGACTGATGGCAATGCCTGACTTTCCGGCACGAGCGGTACGACCGATTCGATGAATCCTGATGTGGTTAGCTACGGTAAACTGTTTGCTTGCGGGTACGACATACATGGTCTTGCTGTCCTGCGGCAAGTCGTGATTTATGACAACGTCGACGAGCGGAATATCGAGACCTCTGGCAGCGACATCCTGGTACTAATTAGCTTCGCCAAAGAGAGAGACAGCGCGGTATATGTCATAGACTCACGGTGGCGACCAAAATCTGGCGAGTTCCTTCACGGAACCTGGAAAGCGCACCAAGACGCGCAGTCTGGTTGAGCTGTCCATGCAGAGGGATGGCGGAGAATCCTAACGCACGCAGCAGGATCGACAACCGTTGCACCTCCGCGACAGTGCGGGCGAAGATGATGATGCGCTTGCCGGCGAACTCGTTACCAAGATAAATCAGGTAGGTATCCTTTTGCGTATGAGGAACAAAGCAGTAGTGCTGGATCAACCCCTTGACCGTCTGGTATTTGTTGGAGCTGATGCTGACGCGGACTGGGTCTCTCAAACTGGCCCGGGACAGACTCTCGATCTTTGTGCTCATCGTAGCGGAGAAGAGGAAAGTTCGGCGTTCGCGGGGGAGAAACTTGAGGAGAGAGGTGATGGCTGGGCCGAAATCCATGTCAAGCAGTCTATCGGCTTCGTCCATCACCAAGTATTTCAGCGAGCGCAAGGAGAAACCCTTAGTCTTCTCGAGGTGATCAACTAGACGTCCGGGTGTAGCGACAAGAATATGGGGGCGCTTGCCGAGAGCAATAGCCTGAGAGACCTGTTGTCCGAGCTGTTAGCATTCTCTGCGGCGGGGAGATCTATGAGGGGGTTGACTCAACGAAGTCGAGACCGCCGACAATTACGGCACATCGCAAGTTGATCAGGCTACCAAGTGCCTCGAACTGTGCACCAATCTGTGCCGCCAACTCTCTTGTGGGCGCGAGAACAAGTCCAAAGAACGGTTGAGGTTTCTCCAAGAGTGCTTGAATAACGGGGAGTGCGAACTGTGAATGGTAGTTAGCGGCCGCATTGGGTAGCCTTGTAGTCCGTATAGTCGTGACGGGTAGAGGAAAACGGCAGTGGATCTGTGAAAGTCGATGACGATCGGGTTTTCACATTACAATCGCACAAGAGTCTTGGACACTTGAACACGCCTACATGTTCGTCTCGACCCTATCTGGCTTTCATGGTACGGTTCCGAGGTGGGCTGAAGGTGTGTATGGAAGGAAGAAAGGGTCTACTGACAGCCGCCGTTTTTCCTGAACCTGTCTCGGCCAGACCAATGATATCGCGATTCGCAAGGGCGTGAGGGATTGACTGAGCCTGAATAGGTGTGGGCTTCTTGTATCCGAGAGATTCGCATGCTTCGCATAGGGACTCGACGACACCCTGGAACGTTGACATTAGAGACCATCACGGGCCAAAGGAGGGGTCTTGGTTGCAATTTACCAGCTCCTTGAAGCTCTTGGTCACTTCCTCAGTGGCATCGGCAGTAACGTCAGCATTGATCTCGACATCGGAATCGGCATCGGCTGCGATATTGTCTTCGGAATCTGATTCGGCTTCAGATTCGGTTGGTGGGGATGGAGAAGCTTCCGCCTCGACTTTGCGAGACACTTTGGAAGACGAGCCCGTTTGCGCCACCTTTTGTCGCTTGGAGGAAGGCATCTTCGCCTTCGATATCGCCTTTTTTGTCGTCGAGGAAGGCATCTTTGTCGTCAACAGCTCGCTGTGCGGTGTGGCGCAAAGAGGAAAGCGATTGTCGAAGGCTTCGGTGCAAAAAGTTTAGCAGTTGGCGCGACCTGATGACATCCCACGCTCTGGGAAAGTTTTTAGTGGAGATCTGAGTGTTATCAGCACGTGAAGGCTGTTTTTTTGGTTCTTATCGACCGGGCCCCGCCAAAAAATTTCCTGCAGACAACCAAAGCACCCAGGTCCGCCCCAGGCCCAGTTGCTTTTCGAATTACGGATTCTGGATCCTCGACAACTCATCGACGTCAAGGTTTTCTTACCCCAAGCCAATTACCACCCCGAACCCATCAAAAGATGGCGCGCAAGAGAGTCAAGAAGAGGACGCACCTCGGTGCCAGCAATCCTGTCACCGCCGGCGAGAACAATGGCGCAAAGGATCCCAAGAGCATGGTCATCCGCATCGGCGCGGGTGAGGTTGGCTCCAGCGTGAGCCAACTTGCTGCCGATTTCCGAAAGGTCATGGAGCCGGGGACTGCCAGTCGAATGAAGGAGAGAAGAGCAAACCGATTGAAGGACTACGTTGTCATGACCGGCCCCCTCGGCGTCACTCACCTGATGCTCTTTTCGCGATCAGAGAGCGGCAATACCAACTTGCGCGTGGCACTCACACCTCGAGGCCCTACACTGAACTTCCGAGTCGAGAAATACTCTCTGTGCAAGGATGTACAGAAGTCCCAGAGACGCCCCAAGGGCAGCGGAAAAGAGCAGATTGCTCCGCCATTGGTACGACATCAATTGCCCTATTTGCTCGAATTTTGCTAACCCATCCCAGCTCGTCATGAACAACTTCCATACCCCCGACGCCGACGCAACATCCAAGGTGCCCAAACATCTCGAGTCCTTGGTGACCTCCGTCTGGTCCAGTGTCTTCCCTCCGCTGAACCCGAACGCGACGCCCCTAAGCAAGATTAAGCGCACGTTACTGCTTAACCGCGAAAAGGACCCCGAGAACGAGGGATCCTTTATTATCAACATGCGGCACTACGCCATTACCACACGGTCGACAGGAATCTCAAGGCCACTCCGAAGGCTCGAAAAGGCAGAGAAGCTGTTGGCTTCAAAGACAAACGGAAAGGGGGGTGTGCCGAATCTTGGAAAGCTGGAAGATATCGCCGACTTTCTTCAGGGTGGAGAGAACGGGGACGGATATCTCACCGATGCAACAAGCGGAAGCGAGCTCGACAGTGATGCCGAAGTCGAGGTCAAGGAACAGAAGGCTCAGAAGATAAGGAAGAGCGCTGCCCCGGTCGACGACGATATGGCCGATGAGGATGATGCCGTTGAAAAGCGTGCGGTCAAGCTCGTCGAGTTAGGTCCTCGTATGCGCCTGCGTCTGACCAAGGTTGAGGAAGGCTTGTGCTCTGGAAAGGTTATGTGGCACGAGTATGTCCACAAGTCCAAGGAGGAGGTAAAGGAGTTGGAGAAGCGCTGGGAGCAGAGACAGAAGGAGAAGGAGGCCAGGCGGAAACAACAAAAGGAGAACGTCGAAAAGAAGCGGAAAGCCAATGCCGGAAAGGGCAAGGAGGCTGATGACAGTGACGTGGACATGGACTATGACGACGAATTTGACAGTGAGGGTCTGGCTGGGGATGCCGAATACCAGGTCAATGAGGCCATGGAGGATACGGGCGAATGGGAGGACGAGGAAGACGAGATTACCAAAGGCTGAAAACTGGGATGTGTGTGGTCTCTTGGCCCCTATTGAATAATACCCAAAATGGACAATTTTGATCACTTGTTAAAGCATATCAGCCAATCCTATTGACACTAAAACAGCTATTCTGTCACACTTCCCTTGCCCGAGATGAAGCAGTTTCAAGAGCCGTTGGACCTTCGAAGACGGTTGAAATGATGGCATCCGCCACCTCGAATGTGAAGGCCAGCCACATATTGGACGCAAGAGCAATATCCTCGTCTCGGAACGGCCGGGCTGCCCCTCCGTCAACGCAGGCCGGTTGCGGCGCAGAAAAGTCCGTCGTGAGGTATTATCCCAGCCAGACTGTAAGAGTCATACGTGACATTGACGCTACTCAACAATAAGAAGCCAAAACATTCTCATTACTAGCGACAGAGGTACTATCATCAAGTATTTTTGACACTCTGCACTGTGCCAGCCGAGTTGAGGACCTTGACCATATCCCAGTCATTGATGGGCCCTAGGAAGTTCTTTTGTTTCAAAGAACCGCGACGGGAGCACAATACTCAAAAGCCAAGACTCGGGTATAGTTCATGAACCCAGCTTTTCTGGCAAAGCTGTTGGCATGCAGATGGGGGCCCTCAGAACGACCCTCCACAGGACAGAAAACATGTTACAAACGAAATCGGACCGGCTCAGGTTCAGATAGCGAGGAAAAAAGTGATCTGCCCCGGCTCTGAAACAGAAGGAACCCCTGTGGCATCACATACGTTGATACTCAGGCACAAAACTGCTGAGGTCATAACATTAAGATGGGACGCAGACTGAAGAAAGTCAACTTCGGCCCAAGATGCACCAGGGGAGGGTCAGAGGCTTCTACAAACCTAATTGACAAGTTACAAGCAGAATGTATGCGATGAGGATCAGGGTGATATGTTTAGTCCCAGTCCTGATATGGCGTCTGCTAGCATCTAACCAGCTTCGTCGGGCTCACATGCATAGAAAGACCAGAGAACAACGGACGTGGCGATTCACCAAGCCAGAGTCGGCATCCATCCAAACTGAGATTCCGTGAATCATCTCATATAGGCCAATGGCAGGTGCCGTGATGTAGTAAAAATGATATTAAACACTGCTTGACTGTTACCGTAAGATCAAACATTAGTCCAAAGTATTATGAACTGGAAGCATGGAATATTGTAGTCAACTTGCAAGAAAAACTGAAGCAATTTCACCTAGACCAAGGGTAGTGATAAAGTGAGCCACGAAAGCAGCCAAGAGGCAGAAGAAGCAAGGTTACGGCTCTCAGTAAACCGGATTTTATTGGAAGTTGCTCTGTTAAAGCAGTTGTCTCATAATTCTATCCGTGATATTCGACACTGTACAAGGCATCCAGTCCATGAGTTGGTGATGGAGAACCATAGGCCTAGAGCTGACACCTAGGTAGCTGAACTGGCGCCGCATGACTACGGTACTGCTATTGCCCTCGAGATGGCATCGTCTAGATCGACCGGGCCGCCTACTGTACCGTCAGAGATGCTATCTTGGTCATGTGATCTAGAGGGAAGGAGGGTAGGGTTTGTATCTGCTGCTGATCTATTCAGGTCTTTCCCTGAGCTGACAGATGTTACGCGATTAGAAACAGCTATCTTGCCATGGTTCACGAGTTGCAAGATTCCAAATGGTTCTCTCTCATGGTTCCTCATAGAATTAGCTGTAGAGGATATCAGGAGGATTTAGTACGGCATGTTGCCTTTGCTTGCTGGTCAGGTGCTTGCGAGCCTCTTTTCAGTTTTTATACTTCCTATGAGATCTATCATATGACACCTTCATTGGGGTTGCAATGGACTAAAGAAATCCCGCCAATCTTGGCTCAGCTGCATGCCTTATCTGGGTTGCAATGATAAACCACGATGTCGCTCCTTCTATGGCTGAGGCGGTACAGTATCGAGGGAACGGGCGGGGAGAACGGGCTGGCGTATTTTTAGGCAACCGGTCGCCCAACACTTTCGTCTAGCCCCCGTGTCGAGGCCCATCTCCAGATCCCCAGTATCCAAACAGTGTCTGATAGCTTAATGAAGCTTGCACTTACTGCAACAATGCACCAGGCGCCCTATCTGTGGATTTGATCATTCTGAACCGGCTGGTAGACATGATTGATCTATGCCACTTTGGGTTCTTGTCGTCATGTGAAAATCAGACTCACCACATTGACTCAGTCTCGATGACAATAGGTGCAGATTGAAAGTTGATGTTTCTGTGTTTCTCTACTTCATCGAACCATGCGGAGCTAGACCGGAGTTGTTAGCTGCATATTACATGGTTCAAAATGAATAGCGCATGCTCATGGCTACCCCACCCACCCATCTCGCATGAGTGTGTTCTTATTCCTTTTTAGGAAGTATCTTCAACCCCCTGAATAAGAGGATAAACTTCGGCAGCTAGCTTAACACTACTGTGCGGAGTGGCAAGCATAGCCCTGTTACAACTTGCGACTATGGATACTATTCCCCATCATGCTCAAGTTACGTTACGGAGTAGTTACATGAGCTCTTGTACACTAAAACCTCGTGGTTTATAAACCATTTTGTCTTTGCAAAGTTCCCATAGCCCTGGGCACCCGACGACTAAGCTCGGTACATTGTTTGTTCTCGACATACCTATTGTTTTCGGACATTCAAATCGAATCATGTCTTCATCCACAGTGTCGGACATGAGGGCTAGATATGGTCCTGAGGTCCAGAAGGTCTCCGCCGACACACCATTGCACGACATCATCTACCTCCTCAAGCGTGACGGGGGCGTCTTCGTTAGAGATCTGGTCCCTGTCGCTGATGTCGACAAAGCTCACGAAGAATGCCGCGAACGCCTAGAAAATGATGTGGAATGGAATGGCTCCTTCTTTCCAAGTAAATATTCATAGTGTCTACGTCAAGACGGACTGATGTATTTGTGCTGACACACGATCGTCACAGAGGAGACTCAGCGGGCACCAGCCTTGTTGGCTCTCAGCCCTACGTATGCCAAAACACAAGTCATGAACCCAGTCTACCAAAAGGTGTGCGAGCACTTCTTGACCACCCGAAGTTGGTTCTGGTGGGGAAACGAGAAGAAGGAATCTGTATCAAAGCCATATGTTCACTCCTGTACTGCTATGAGCATTGGCCCCGGGGGCAAAGCTCAGCCCTTGCACCGAGACGACTACATCAGCCACAACTATCATCAAGAGGTGAGTGAATGGGATGATGAGCGAGACAAGGGCAGGGAAACAGCTGTTGGGCTCTTCGTGGCTGGCTGTAAAGTCACCAAGGAGAACGGTGGAACGCAATTCATTCCCCGGAGCCATTTGTGGTAAGTAATCTTGTCCCTTATCCATGCGCTAGGGCGCTGATAGTCGACGCATTCTCGATCAAACTGGCCTCCGACCGAGGAAGAAAGATGAACTGATGCCATGATCTTGAAGGGGCACTGATAGACACATGCCGCCGCGAGTAGAGGAGTGCATTTACGCCGAGATGGAGAAAGGCGATGCCTTCATCATGCTGGCATCCGCGTACCATGCCGGAGGCCACAACACAACAAAGAATGAGAGACGACTGATGTTTGCCACATTCTCTATTCGAGGTTATCTTCGACAGGAGGAGAATCAATTCTTGTCTGTGCCCCAAGATATTGCAAAAAAGTTGGATCACCCTATCCAGGAGTTTATGGGATATTCAATGAGCGATCCGGCCTGTGGGTACGTTGATCAGATGGATCCAATCTTTGTGCTCCGTCCCGAGTTGAAGGGCGACGGGCGTCCATCCGACTTTTGATGAACAACTAAATCGCAGTCACTTGAGATTGGAAGCCTTGCTCCAGCTTCTCAGCTTGGGACTGTCGAGAATAGCCCTTTGCTGCTTCAGGAAGTGCCTTGCTTTAGATAGATAGCTTGAGATTATGATTCATCGGTTATCAAAAGCGTACATGATTTTCAAGGGAACAGTTAAAATTACACCGTTGCCAAACCTTACGTATGAAAGCACTAGAATTCGATCATTTTGCATTCTAGTCCATTGGAATCTTTGGTGAAATGACCTGAAAGCTATTTCCTAGACGGTGTCGGCCATAAGCATCATTCTTAACGCCTCACTGGCAACGGTCATCACAGTAACTCCATGTAATTCGGGATCATATGGAGTGGCAAAGCCTGGAGCGAGTCTTCCCAACGTTACCCGAAACCAAAAGTAAATGAGAGGAAGCTAGTGATGACCATTGTTCGACCGACCTTGTAATGCTTCACATCATGTGAGTGCTAGCATGAGGCGCCAGACCGGGGACAACACGTTGTCTTAAGGGTGACTGTCCCCGGCGCGGAATTCAGATTCCTTTGTCATGACTCCACTACCACCTTAGCGGATGCTGCTTACCTGCAGGCTGCACACCTGCCCTACCTACGTACCGCTCCTCTCTACGGCAAGGTAGGTTTACGGCTGTACGGAATACATGGATTGCCCAAGCGTCCAATCCTGAACAACCAACATGAACCCAACACCGGGCGAGACTCTCTGGTCCGCCGGCCTTTCTTCCACTTGCTCCCAACATTTGGTCGGATAGTTGCGTACAAATTTGGTGATCATACCTCACCACAAGGTCTACGAGATTCGGATGCAAAATGCGTGCCAACATCGCAATGGCCAGGGGCTCGAAAGCCGTCAGAAAAGGTCAGCTCGGTTCTCCCCTCTCTTGCTCTAAATCTTGTACCGAAAACTGCACTAGAGGGCACTCAGTCCCTGCCCGGGTCTTGTTGAGCCAGATTGGGAACAAGTTTCAGCAGCGAGACATTCTGTCGCTCATGATTTCTGAGCGTGCGATTTGCTACCCGATTATGCCTCAGCTCCCGCTCAGATTTCGTCGCTGACCATCAACAGATCCAGCATGCGGAACCTGTAGAAAGAAGTGCCGCAAGTGTGACCGCGCGCGCCCTGTCTGCAATCGATGCAAGTCAAAGGGCTTACACTGTGAGGGCTACCCTCCTCGATTCCAATTCTGTGAATCATTACAGACGCACAGTTTGATGACCGCTGGCGATGAGCGGGACCCAGAAGCGGAGCAAGAGCGCGTTCAGCCTGATGTCCTACCCACCAACGAGCTTACTCCGGCCCAAAACCTGAGCTCACCAACATCGACTCCAAGTTCACTTTCTTCAGATCACCCAAGCCAAAGCCGCCGCCTCCTCCTCCAGACTTTGTCACAAGGTGCTTCTCCAGCCTCGCCCCAAGATCGATCTCTTGGCGCACCGTCACCGGCGACAATCACCGGGCACCCTGTCGACGATCTACTGCTCACGAGTAACAGCCAGAAATTGCTTGTTTACTGTAAGTTGCTCCTTGGCCGCCCGGAAACTTCCATATTCCATTTTCTCTCAGCCAGTGTGACATCATCGTTTCTGACAACTGTTTGTAGTCGACAGAGAGCTGAGCCATCATCTAACAATTGTCGTTGAAGGCGTGGACAACCCGTTCCGCGTACATGTCCTCCCACTGGCCTACAATCACACAGGTGTTCTCCATGCAGTTCTGGGACTTACCGCATGCCATCTGCACCTATCACCATCAGGTGCTAATCAGGTTGACATGGCCACTGCCTTACAACACCGTGTTGCTGCATTGAACGGTCTAAGCTCCCTTTTAATCAAGGAAGAAATCTACGGACTTACAGAAGCTGAAGAAGAGGCTGCACTAGCAATAATCTTCCTTTTGGTACTTCATGATGTAAGCTCCAAGACCCATTTCAAGTTTCTCCGCAGCGCGAGTCTCGTTGGCTAAGCAACCACATGCATGATATCTAGATATGCGAGCTGGGAATATCTGCCCATGCTGTTCATTTGAATGGCGTGTCATTCCTCTGTGGAAGAATTGCATCTCCTTTAGGAAGGGCAGAGCGGTCTGCAGCAACCATCTTCTTTTTGTCTGCTTTATCATGGCAAGTATAGTACTCGTCTCCGATCTCAAAACTTTCTAATGACAAACATGTTGATCAGGTTGGATGTCTTAAGAGGATTCAGTGGTGCTGAGAAGCTCACCTACTCCGAGAATGTCCGGAAATGTGTTGCAAACATTACTACTCCACACGCAGCCCTGCACACTTTGGTTGGTTGTCCCGCAGTCATGTTCCTCAGAATCGGGGACGTAATAGCAGCAGCCAAGCAGAATATGCAGGGATTGTTATCTACCGTCGACTTTCAGACCAGATTAGATGAGGCAGAAAGCTTTCTTCGCGACCTCGATCTCGACGTGATCGAATATCCCACACCACATCCGGAGTGGAGACAGCTCGCGGAGGCTTTTAGACATGCTAGTCTGCTGAGAATCTTACGATGGCCTGATACGTTTGTAATTCCCTGCGAAGACCCTAGGATCAGGCCATCGGTATCAGCAATCCTGGATTGCTGTGCAAACGTTTCAATGGACTCGCCATTCTTCAAGCGGCTGTTGTTCCCTCTATTTCTGGCGGCAACCGAGACATCTGAAAGACACCAGATACACTACGCCAGTCTTTGTATCGAAAATATTCGACGCTCCACGGGATTTCAACATGCAGCCATGATGGAAGTCCTTGAAGGGGTTTGGGAGGAAAGAAGACTGAAAACCCGGGGCTGGACGAATGTTCCCTGGATGGAATTTGTGAGTAAAGACCCGAATTGTCCCTTGGTCCAACATCTATACTCATTCGAATGCAGACCTGCTCTGAGAGTATGCAGCAGCAACACGCTTACCTGTTCTTTTGACTAAGTATACGGAGGTGTGCCAAAATGGCTCACCAACTCTCAATATCACAAACAGGACCGCCGGAAGATGCGATGAAGAAAAGATTCCCTAGCCACCGAACGGCAGTTTCAAAAGTTCACCCTGGAAACGTGTCTTAAAGAATGACATCGTTAATGGAGATGCCTGAGTCCCGGCACCTTGAAGCTTGCCCATGATATGTCATGGGAACCTTGATACAACTTGTTCAAACAGCTTAGCGCGGGATTCGGAAGGAATTTGCAAATGAGCCATACTACACCCACGTTACTAAATCTGGGCAACAACCGCCAAGTTTGATAGTGAGCAGATACCAAAGAGAGGCTTTATATGGAAGGAAGCGCCATTTGATCGTTGTCATCCAGCCCTCTCAACTGTGAGAGTTATAATACCCACTCAGACATGGTTTGGCATGGGTCAGATGGAAGCGACGCAGGGGCTGGACTGAGTTACAGGCACATCAGTGTGTCTGGAAAGGCCAAGCCACGATTCAGTAGTTGGCATGATGCGTTGTTTAGTATCGGACTTCTTTCAAAATTGCAATGCTATACAACTCATCGTTGATCGGCGCATATGATGTTAACGGCGTACTTCTCGTCTAGTTATACAAACCCCCATTTGCACAGAGGACTGATCCAGTAGTCCACCGAGCGTCACTGCTGCAAAGGAATGCCACGAGAGGTGCGACATCATCCACTTCTCCGATTCTCGCTGCAGCCGGTGTAGACTCGATCAAGGGCTCCATGTCTTTTCTAAACTGGTCATCGCTTTCGTTCCACTGATCTACGTCGCAGGACATGTCAGTCTTGCTGCGAGTGGCGTCTTGGATGTGAGATGCCTACCAGTAGCCACCGGGCCAGGATTGACGCAATTGACAGTAATGCCATGCTCTTGCCCAAGTTCTTTGGCCCACACACGCGCAAGTGCCTCGTTGGCCGCTTTTGTGGCAGCATATACGGTTTGTCCAGCGACCCCAAGACGAGCCGCTGCGGAAGAAACAAAAACTATTCGACCGCCTCGAGCAATGTGCGGCACGACAGCTTTGGTCAGAAAAATTGGTCCCTTCACATTGGTGTCGAAATGGGTGAGATACAAGTCTTCGGTGACTTCGTCGAGGTTTGCGTCAACACCCAAAGCCGCGCTGAGAAGTAGAGCAAAATTATCAGAGCCAGACACATAATGGACAAAACCAAGCCATAGAAATCGAGAGCGGAAACTGACTTATGAACCAAAATTTCGATTTTGCCAGTTCCACTAAACTTCAGCGTAGCGTCAACGAGCCTGGAGATCTCAGATAATTTCCCGACATCTGCCTGGATCGCAATGGCATTTGATCCGTGTTGTTGAATGTCCTTGACGATGTCTTCGGCTCGCTGGCGACTGCTGTCTGTCACGAAGTTGGCGACAACATTGGCTCCTCGCCTCCCAAGTTGTTTTGCAATCGCGGCGCCAATTCCACTGTGAAATCATGAATATTAGCGGGAGTCTAAAAAGACCGACAAAGGCGGCCGATTCCTCACCGTGAAGCGCCGGTGACAATCGCTGTCTTACCGGTAAGATCGACACCTCTGAAGTCAGACATGGTAGGATGAAGTTGTTGAAGCTGTCATGAATTGGCATTTGGATACAAAGCTTCTGAACATATCTAGCGAAGCAAAGTTCGGGAACATACGACATATATCTCTCCCAAAGATCTGGTATTGTTAGATCAGTCGCGGTTGCCGCAAGATGTAAGATCGGTAATAGTGGCCATATTGGGCTACCCCGCGTTGCGCTGTATTCCTCCGCAGTGCTGACGTGGGGTCCATTATGAAGAGGTCGGCTGGATGTCTTTCCTGTTCAAGCCAGAAGATACGCTTGGTTTTCTAGCTGATGAGCGTGTTCTGCTGCTATTGTCTCAAAACAAAAGAGTCTGAGAATGCACTTATTTCTGTTTGCTAATTGAAATGGGATTGTTCTCACCCCGCGTGAAGACAACAAAGTTGCCCCTCTTTCCGTTTTGGGGAGTGGTGAGTCGCTGCTGGGAGTATGTCCCTTTTGGGAAACATGTAAGTCCGCAACACGAATCGAACGACTTTGGGTAGTCAATTATCTTTCGTAATGAATACAAGTTCAAAGCAGTGTATCAAGGGAGTAAAAATTGTAAGTGTTCGTATGAGAACATGGAGTATTTTAAACTGGTGCTGCCAATCGAACGCAACCGCATCTTGACCCTCAAGCACTGCACTTCCTGGCCTGTAATCAGGCTTATTAACTTGTCACCATGGCCAAGCACCCCCTTGACCCCCTTTCGATCAACGAAGTGCGTCAAGCGTCCCGCGCCCTGTTCAGAGGACTGAACCTGCAGGAAGATGAGATCAGGTTCAAAGTAATCGATCTCGCCGAGCCTTCGAAAGATGAGACCTTGGTTCACCTCCTGGAACGCGGCCCTATGCCCGATCGTAGAGCTAGGATCTACTATCAACGGAAGCAAAGGGATTTCATGAGCAGAGCAATCATCAACATAACTCGCGGAACTCTCGAGAAGACTGACGACCTTCCTGATGCCCAGGGACCAGTGGACTGGGTTGAATACGACCTCATTACCACAGCTTGCAATGCCCATCCAGATGTCGTGGCTGAGGTCGCTAAGCTGAGACTCCCCGAAGGGTGAGGCTCCAATTCCCTTGATTTTGATATGCCAGAGTTAGTTAACATGATATGATATAGAGCACGAGTTCTCAATGACCCTTGGGCTTACGGAACTGACGATGTCGAGGAGAGACGCCGTCTCTTCCAATGCTACATGTATCTTGCCTTCGATGACGACGATGAGGCCAACCACTACTCCATCCCCCTCCCTCTTGCACCTATCTTCGATGCTCAGACTCTTGAGCTGGTTGAATTGCAAAAGCTTCCTTTGGGGATCGATGACGAAATTGACGATGAAACACAACCCTGGGTACCTGTCAAGCCAGTTGAGTACAGCGCAAACATTCTCGGACCCGATGCTTTTAGAAAAGACCTAAAACCACTACAAGTCGCCCAACCAGAAGGGCCTTCATTCGACATCAACAATCGTAAGGTATCATGGCAGAAATGGCAATTTCAACTGGGATGGTCTCTACGTGAAGGTCCAGTTCTACACGACGTACGCTACGAAGGCCGGCCTCTATTTTACCGGGTATCGATGAGTGAGATGACGGTACCTTACGGCGATCCTCGAACACCTTACCACCGGAAGCAAGCGTTCGACCTCGGCGACTCCGGCTTCGGTCTCACTTCCAATAGCTTGTCTCTTGGCTGTGACTGTTTAGGCCACATTGCCTACTTTGATGGCGTTCGGGTTTCAGCAACAGGAGAACCTGTTGTTATGCCGAACGTTGTCTGCATGCACGAGATTGATGATGGAATTGGCTGGAAACACACGAACTTTCGCAACATGAAATCTTCCACAGTCCGAGACCGGAAGCTCGTTGTCCAGTGCACTTCCACTGTAGCCAACTACGAATACATCTTGGCGTATGCCCTGGATCAAGCCGCGAATATTCACATCGAGGTGCGAGCAACTGGCATTGTCTCCACTATGCCAATCCGCCCCGAACTCAAGTCGTCGCCTTGGGGAACAGTTGTGGCACCCGGAGTCTTGGCCGTTAACCATCAACATCTTTTTTGTGTCCAAGCCAATTTGGGTTACTCGGTACCGCGATGACGAACTTTGGGCTGCTGGAGAGTTTACGAATCAAAGCCGAGAGGATACTGGCCTTGTAGAGTATGCTGCACGAGCGGAAAATGTTGAGGCTGAAGATGTCGTTCTGTGGCACTCGTTTGGTCTGACACACGTCACACGCCCCGAAGGTACGAGGTGATTCTTCCTATGTTTCTGATGAAGAAGATACTTACCGTGTTTGGAGTCTTAGACTTCCCTGTTATGCCCGCGGAAAAGTTGTCATGTGCCTTGAAGCCAACGAGTTTCTTCGACCTCAACCCCTCCAACGACGTTCCGAGATCCAACCAACGTGACAACCAATCGAAGCTCCATGACCAGAGTTCGGCTGCCCCTGGATGCCATCAAAACCTATAGGCACCACGTCTGTAAAGTGTTAATGGGGGCCAAGTGATTCTATAAAGAGTGGGATGTAGATACTCGTAAAGGACCATTTACGTAGCTGTCTATCTTTACTAGTCGTGCCATCTTCAGTTATCTGGGACACCCCTCATGTGAATAATGCCAGGGTATATGATGATTGGGAAATGAAGTATCGACCGAATCAATTGAATATGTTGCAAATTACTGCTCGATGACACCGCCATTGCTGCAAATTTACCTTGTCCAGTTCACTTTGTCCCAACCCAAACTGGCATTACTGCATGCACTGATCAGCAGTCTATCGAAGAGCATCCCATCACATGCTTGACACCATGCTCGCAGATAAGATAACTCTTAATGGCAGGGCAAAAGCATGGGTGAATACTTCAAAATGACGCTGATCAATACATTGGATATAACAACCTGACGCCTACGGTTCGTTCTCTAGAGTATGTATGGGCAACATAAAATAAGGTCGACTACCTTAATCTTCTAAGGTAGGCTTGCTCTTGAAAGCTTCAGCTGCCTCTCGGAGAGGCGCCTTCTGGTCTGGAGAAAGAACGGGTACGTGGCCAACAACCGCAGCGAAAACGATTCCTACTGTATCTCCTGGGTTGTCTGCTTGAAGCGAACGGAGCTGATTAGACTCGATCGAGCCGCCATTCTTAACATCTACGTTTTCTCGCACGCGTTTCAAAACAGCCTTGCAAAGGTGGTCGGTGTGAAAGTAGTCGAGAGTGAGCTCGGGAACCTCGTCATGAACTGCGAGGGCGACTTGACGAACTAGCTCAGACAGGAGGAGGGCACGGTGCTTCTGTTGGAGGTTGTCAGACATATGGACTATAAAGAACACTTGATGGCAATGATAGAGAGCTTCATAGCATCTTACCTTGGGCTTTTCGGGGTCGGAGGGGGTGCCGTCGTTGCTTGCTTTGCTAAGCCAGCCACTTCGCTCAAGGATTTGATCAATGACGTCCGCGTTAAGGCCTCTGGGATCCGAGTTGTCCAAGACCCTAGGGGCAAACAAACAAGAACAGACTCCCTTGAACTTCATGATCCGAATGCCAGCTTTTGATGTCATAACGCGATTGTTGTTGGGTTTGTTGCGCTTCTGGATCCATTGCGCAGCCGAAACTCCTTTTGAGAGCCCGAAGTTCTTGAAATACGCTTCTGGGTTCACTGGGGGATCGCCGACGAAGAAGGCGGTCCGGCCCTGTTGCTCCATCATTGAATCCAGAGCGTCCCATTTGTCCCCGTCTTGCAATAAGCCTTCCTGTTGGAGAGCCTGATAGAGCTGGATGCCGTGCATCACGTTACCGGGCTTCGCAGCATACTCGGCCCCCACGCGGTGGAAGAGAGTTCGGACGTAATGCAAGAAGAGACCGCAGTACATCGGGTGATGTTCTAAGAAGTTTGAAGTCCTTGTTTGAAGCCTCGATGCAATGCGAATGGCGTTGAATGGGTCTTTTCCGGGCCCCCATAAGATTGCCAGCTTGTGAAGATCCTGCATGTTCTCCCTGACCGCACCCTCTCGATTGCTACGAATACGCAGAGCCTCTTCGACACTGTCTGCGATTGGCTTCAGGGACCGCTGGAAATCCCTCTCTCCGTTTCGAACTGAGGGTCCGAGGGACTTGAGAATATCGAGGTACACTTGGGCGGAGAAGCATAGCCATACTTCCAATTTACCCGTGTCCATCACGTATTTCAATCCTTTGGTGAACTCATCCTGAACTGGGGATCCCCGAAACAGCTGAAAGAGCATGGTTTGATCCGCGAAGACTTCAAGGAGTGCTGCCTTATCCTCTGCCCATCGCTCGCGAGCGGTGGTTCCTCTTTTCTTGTCATTGTACCAACCAAACTTCCCGTTGTAATTCGGAATGTTTGAGGACGATTCGCTGCTGCTGAAGGCGTGAAGAAGACTGAGAGTAGTGAAGTATAGGTCGGAGGCGTCCTGGTAGCAGTTGAAGTTCAAATCATCACCCCACTGCTTATCAAGAGGGTCCTGGCCTTGAGCTGCGCAAGCAGCCTCATAGAACATTTGGATGGTTTCCATAGCACCTCCAAGCTTCTCCATCGACGTCGCAATTTCTTGCTCCATATTGCGCGCAAGCTGCAGAGCGGTATTGGTGGCAATTGAAACGGCGGCGAGGTCTCTATCTCCTGATTTATACTCGGTCCAGAGCTGGAGAATCTCTTCGCGAAGTTGGCCGAGATCCTTAAGGTACGCAGTGTAGATGAAGAGGGCTGCAGTATCGGAGTCGTCTTCCTCAGCTATGAAGACTTTAGGAACCTTAGCCTGACGCTCGATATTTGGGGCAGCTAGGAAGTCCTCAGACGGCTCGTACACGTCTAGGATGGCGAACATATTTTTGGGTCCGTCAACATGCTTGGAACCATTCTTGAGAGCCTTTTCAATGCCGCGGGTCGCGTCTTGTAGAGCAGATACGTCGAAGGCGCCCACCTGGGATTTGAAGGTATCGCGAACGCGCTCAAGAACGGTGACAAAGAAAGCATGTTTATTGTCCCCACGGTAGTCTTTGAATCGTTGAATACCTCCCAGCATGGAAGAAAACCGCTTACGAGTTTCAATGACACGGTTGAGGGATGATATGAACGATTCTGGGACCTTCAAGGAGTCGGACAACTTTCCCGCGACGAATTGGGCCAGTGGCAGGAAGTCCTTTATAGCGATGATGTGTTGAGGCGTCGTGTCCACAGGCGCTTTCTCCTCAGGTGCCTGCAATGGGTTGATGATAGCCTGTTTCTTAGCCTGCTTCCGCGCCTTACCCTTCAACCTCTCAGTCGTGGGCACTGAAGATGTAGCCTTGGCGGGTGGCTCACTCAGGGGCTTGGAGTAGCCGGAGCTTATCGCGGTGGCAGCCAGCCACGAGGCAACGGCATCAGTATCGCGCTTGTATTGCTTATAGCTTGAAAGCAAGCTTGAAGAAAGCATCATGGCGTATGTGCCGATGGAGATGAGCAAAAGACACCGAGAGGGGTATCAGAGTAGTACCGCAATTTTGGAGCAGGGGTAGAGAGAGAGAGAGAGATTATCAAAGTGAAATCTCAATGATCAACTCGAATACTTGGCAAAAGCGTGTAATCGATTAGTGGTGAGACAGACTGGATCTTCCGAAGTCAGAGGCTCTGGACGGGCATTGAAGCTTTCACCACCTGCCAGCGAGAGAGTAGGGCCGGCTGACGAGCAGTCACGTGGCCATGGCCAGTGGGTCGTTACAAAAGGTAGGTAATCCAGTATATCTAATATCCCTGATCCTGTCGGGTGTGGAGAGCATTACACAGGTCTTGCACATTGTTTCAATCCGCTAAGAGGAATTGGAGTCGAGGATGAACCGTAAGCAACATGTGCCGCACTATCTCTGAGTCAGAACACAGTAAGGCAGGCAATGGATGAACGTGCCTAACAGGTAGACACTCAGTCCCTGCGCATTTCTCCGAGCACTATCGTCGCCGTCTCGGCGACTGGCGCAAGGACAGCTCTGCTGGTATACCACCGGCGCTTTGACACTGTCGTGGACGCTAAACAACGTGTGAGAAGTAGTTACTGCTCAAATATGTGATTACAGCAAGCGAACATGGTCGTCTGGGGCAACATAAGTATATTATAGTAGTATCTCCGCTACTTCAGAGACTTCTAGATATCTTGCAAATCAAGCGAAAAGCATGGGGAAACGGCCAATCCTCACTGGTTGAGGTACTGCTCAAACTTGCCGCCATAGCGCTGTCCCGCGATAGGCAAGCTCTCAATCAGCGCCCAAATCTCTTTCAAATCGTCGTCGCTCAGCTCCACGTCTACGCAGTTCTGCACCACTCGCTCCGCTTTTGTCGACCCGGGAATCGGGATGGCTCCCTGCCGCCGCACCCAAGTGATGGCCACCTGCGCGACCGTCGCACCCTTGCGCTCGGCAATCTTCTCGACCGCCTCGACGAGTTTGAAGTTCTGGATGAAGGCGTCCGACTTGAAGCGCGGCAACATGCGGCGCATGTCGTTGGCGGGGAGATCTTCAGGCCTGCGAAACTCGCCGGTGAGGAGGCCGCGGCTAACGGGGCTGTAGGCGACGAGAGCGATGCCGACTATAGTATTGATTCGAGTTAGTCATTGCTATATTGTGAGAATGCGGCCCGGTATGGCAAAAGACTTACGCTCGTGGCATGCCTCGGCGACACCGTTGGTCACGGCATCGGGCGTGAAAATGCTTAGCTCGATCTCGACTGCCGCGATGGGGTGCACGGCGTGCGCGCGGCGTATGGTCTCGGCGCTGACCTCGCTAAGGCCGATGCCCCCGATCTTGCCTTCCTTAACGAGTTCTGCGAGAGCCTGGACGGAGGTTTCGATGGGGACATTGGGGTCGACTCGAGCGCACTCGAAGACGTCGATCTTTTTGCAGCCACCGAGGACTCGAACGGCCTCTTCGACGGAGGCCCGGATGCCCTCCGGACTGCAGTCCGGGATGTGGGTCTTTCCGTCGTAGGCGCCCTTGATGCTGAGGACGACCTTGTCCGCATCCTGCGGGTTTTGCTCGAAGTAGTGTTTGAGTAGGTGCAAGGAATTTCTGTCAGGAGTTCCGTAGTGGATTCCCTGTTTCTGTGTTAGTACATCACATATCAAAGATGGCTTTTGTTGATGGTACCCATACCCCGTTCCAAACGTTGGCACCCTGTTCGAGCGCAGTCTTCATCAGTTTGGTTGAAGCAGAGAACTCAATCTGATCCCAAGGACGGGTCAATCCTGTGAATCATTGTCAGCAAAAGAATACGGTCTTGTGATGCCTGTTTTTGAGTTTAACGAACTCACCCATCAGTCCGTAGCCGGTTGGCCCAATGGACTTTCCGACAATGGTCTTGGCGGCTGTAGTGGACCTCATGTTGGCGATGATCAAGATTGAGGTACCAAGCTTCGACAGGGTATGGTGCTTAAGGTGTAGTGTACAAAGCAGGTATCTCGTGAAAAATGCTGGATTGATAATGTACCAAGTTCAAAATCATTGGAAGGTATCTTAACTGCGTATATATCCACTTCATTTCGATCCAAGCCGTCGCGGCCATCGCCAGTCATTGCAGGTATGCCTACACCATAGGTAGTGCTCAGGTAGTGTACAGTGTCTCCAAAAATTAAATCCGGCTAATTATCTCCAGGCGCATGAGCCGGGGTCGGCCGCCGCCTCAGCCACATTTGTCGGTCTCTGGTGGGCCTTGGCAGGGTTTACGGAGCTTATGATAAGATCCGGTCCGTCTTACTCACAGGCTGCTGCTGGCGGCGCAGGGAAACCTCGCCCCTTATTGGGCGGTTCTATCGGATTTAGCTCGACATGCCCTGAGTGACGACGCAGCATTCCTAACCGTTTACCAAAGGTCCAATTCGGTGGGCGCGGTCTACCAAAGGCCCAAACGTGAGTGGATGCGTTTCCACTGTTAACTTGGCTGCCTGAACTAAGAAACATGTAGATCCTTTGGGTCTTGAGAAAGGAATAGGCAGACAGACTTTATGATACTTCATCGAGATAATCTCTGAGGTACTTGTTGAAGATAGTATCTGATGCTTAGATATCAGTATGCAAAACGATCTTCAAACCATGGCATGCTTTCGTACCCAGCCTTTGCTATCATCTCTCCAGTTTCGAGACTAGTCACGACGATATGGAATCACCTATCCTGCCGTAGCTGATATCCTACTCTCGCTGCAAATAGAGCCCGGATGACTACTGGCTTTCAGACACCAGCGGCTGACCTTGCTATGTTACCCCATTCGTTCCATGTCGACCCTATTCTGATTCGAGTCATCTCACCAACAAAGTCGGCATTGGTCCTTACACGATGAATCAGTAGTTGGGCCGCAGCCGTAAAGGTCTCGATCTTCTAGCTGGGTGCCGCGCATCTTACGTCTTTCAAGACAATGCCAGACCACTTAACAATGTCTAACCTCTCTTGGAGGTCCTATGCCCCGTCTAATCCGTTTGCCTTCATCAACGCACTCATAGTCTCTTCTTTCTCTCCGTTCAATATGGCGGCTGGGAAATTGATCGCCCGGTCATTATTAGCATACTGTGTGACGATTCCGCGTTCCAGTGTACAAGGAGGTGTACACAAATCACCACTTCTAGGTGGACAGTTACTACATGTAAAGACTTAACCCCGTGCAGTTGTCAATAAGAAGCTAGAGCAGATGGAAAGAAAGATATTGGGCTTTAGGCTGAGCTTATACGAATAAGCCATCAAAATAATTTAAGAAGAAAATCAAGTCACGACATATAGGTGTTGCGGCCTAGAGCAGACAATAGGTATCAAGCGATAAAAGATTGAAAGTACGGTCAGCCACCGTAGCTTTCCGAATTTAGGCGGACCCATCCGCGATAATCGTCATGGTCTTCTTCTTATAGCTCGTCAAGATGAAATTGCTAGGAGTACAAGCTACAGCTCTGATCAATTGAGAAGTCTACAATGCTGTCCCAGTGATACCTAACGTTTTCGGCCGTGCCTTCAGATGTTTATGTCGATTGACTCTGGACTTGCTAGGTTTCTGCGTGACTGGTTCATATTAGGCCAATTTTACGATCACAGTCTGATTAGTTCAGAAGGCCCTTTCCCTGGTATAACATTGCGCGCGATGAGCGGGTCTACGCCGCTCTTAGACTTACCATCGAGAGTGAGGGCGTACTTGAGCGGATTAAGGCAGGTGTTGCTACTGATTGAGTAGATATGGACGTAAGTCTCGGTCAAAATCACAAAGAGGATACCGGCAAGGAGAGACTTAGCATCTTTCATTCAGAAAGAAAGTCAATTCTAGCATCTAATCAGCTTGATAATCTACTGCGAGAGGCTAGACTCTATTTTAAGTGAATGCTACTTCCTGGTAGTGTAAACACCAACATCCACCTGTGAGTCGGTCTCCGCACACTCTCTGCTTCTAACAAACTTGCTGGGCTCTCTAACTTAACGTCTAAACATGTAATTACAATGGCCTTTTGTTCTAATAGCTCCTCTCTGCACGAGCGGTCAGCTGCATTGCTCGAACGTCCGCGCAACCAATGCCTTTGCGACCACGAAGAGACATCCTCGGAGACCACAAACGCTCAATACCTACTTAGCAATAAATCTCGAGTTTTCTTTTGAAGGAGGCTGATGTCGGAGAAAGTACCTTGATATATTCATAAGGCCGTAATTAGATAGGCCGGGATGAAAATCCTTGACAATAATGGCTTCGATTTTGTCACTACTCTAGGCCATTAATACAAGAGCAACTGCTAGGATCCGCATGGCTTCCAGCAACCTCGACACATTCATAGTAGTCATTGCTCATTCAGGGCTCCGAAGATTTCTCCGCAGAAAGTTAACGATTATTGTTCACCCGGGAGTATTTACATTGCGAAAGTCAAACGCAAGGTCATTATTGGAGCGGCTCTGTCGGCTCCCACGGGACTAGGCCCCCAGCTAAGTCATGAGACACGCGGGCCCAAGGAACAAGACGCGGAGAAATGAAGATCGTGACAGTTCTACACTTCTACGAAACCTAATTCTACACATGTGTGTGTTAAAGTAAACTTTTGTTTTTGGTTGTGTTGTAACTTCTCTATATTTGCTGCCGAACATCCTGTATGCGTCCATCCAAAGTAAGGACACCTCCACATGCCACTTCAGGGATGCTCGTGATTACTCCACAATTTGCCGTTGAAGCTACCCGCAATCTTCGGAGAGGAGCGTATATCAGCGCTTGCGGCTAGAAGCGAGCACGACTTTCCGCTAACTTTACACGTCCTCACAATGCCTCCTTGGCATTATGGCCACCTGGGTAGTCGTTTGTCATATGCGGAATGAGCTGTTCGGTCTTGGCAATCCCACTAATTCGTCTTGCATCCAGACTTCCGCGACTTTTCTAGGAACATAGATTCATCTACGGAAAGATCTCGAGGCGAAGTATTCTATTTCGCCACCAATCATGATGGCGATGAGCAACAATGATGCCTCTCATTTCTCTTTCGGCCCTGTTGCCTTCTTCTCCCTAGTAATCGGAACTCGTAAGTTGTCAGTTGCCAGATTATGTACCAGTCGACTAAGCGCCATTGGAGCGTATCCAATACATGTAAGTATTTCGAGTCATGGTTGGCAATATGGATCGGTGATATATAGTCAGAATGCTAGCTGCTTTATGATTGAGTTGAGCCCGGTAACAACCTTCATCTCTCAAGTTTTTGACTTCAAGCCAAGCCATGCACTGTTCTCAATTCTTTAGCCTCGTAGCTACAGCTACTGTGGCATGGGCACTCCTGCTTCAGGTTGATACCGGAAGTCCTGGCCATGAGTTAAGCCCTTTGCTCCACGGTCTTATGTTTGAGGACATCAGCAACAGCGGCGACGGAGGTACAGTTGAACCCTGGCCCATCAAAGATAACAATTGGCTGAAACATGAAATACGGTGATAGGCCTCTATTCACAGCAACTAAGAAATAACGCATTTCAAGGCGGTGTGACTACCGTCGACCCCTGGACAGTTCATTATGGCGCGGCGGAAATTTCCCATGATACCCAAACACCACTGACCGACGCCATCACTTCATCCCTCAAAATTACAATCCCCACCGGCGCTGATGGATTTACTGGCGTTGCGAACCCTGGCTACAGAGGCATCATCGTGAACGGCGGGTACTACAATACCACTTTCTGGCTTCGTGGTGATTTTCAGGGCGATGTCAAGATCCGCCTTCTAAGCAATGAGACTGATGTCGAACATGGCTGGGCTATCATTCCCGTCGACTCCAAGGCCGATTCATGGACGCGATATGAAGCCGGATTCTGGACGACAGCCGCCGCCGATGGGAACAATCTCTGGGTTTTCGAGATCTTGGCGGAGACTCTGACTAGCGGAAGTATCAATCTTGGTTACCCGACCTTGTTTCCTCCTACTTTCAAAGGTAGAGAAAACGGCTTGACAGTCGATCTGTCCGAAGCCATCGTAAATCTCAAACCCCAATTCCTGAGATTTCCTGGGGGTAATAACCTGTGAGTTGCCTTGGTATCCTTATCAACTGCAAGTCCAAAATCCAATCACTGACTACTCATTATGCAGTGAGGGAGGCGGCCCGCATGACCGCTGAAAATGGAATGAAACAATAGGTTCTCTTGAATCTCGACCAGGACGTTGGGGTAGGGCCTCGTTGCACCTTGATGTTACTGCGATGTGAGGCAATCGACTGATGTTTTTGACACTTATCTAGGGACTTGGGGATATGTCAACACTGACGGCCTTGGCCTCATGGAATACTTCCAGTGGTGTGAGGATATGTCCTTGGAGCCTATCCTGGACGTATGGGCTGGTCTCGGACTTGCGGGACTCCCACCATTAGTAGGAGATGAGCTTGAGCCGTATGTTGAGGACGCAATCCGTGAGATTGAGGTATGTTGTCTACCTAAGTTACTACGCATCAGGTAGTCGTGCTGAACAACGTCTTAGTTCGTCATTGGTGACATCGACACGTCTGGCGGGGCACTTCGCGCGTCTCTCGGACACCCAGAGCCGTACCAGCTCAACTTCGTCGAGGTTGGGAACGAAGATAACCTCGCCGGCGGCTGTGAGTCTTACAAGCAGCGCTTTGTGCAATTTTTCGATGCCATCAAAGAAGCATATCCGCAGATAACTGTCCTTACCTCCACGTCTGACCGAGCCTGTCTGCCGGACCCAATTCCCGAAGGCGCATGGCTTGACTTCCACGACTACAATGTGCCGGAGAATTACATCAACGCATATGACTTTTATGACGACTGGGATCGCGCTCATCCTGTGTTTATCGGTGAATATGCCAGGTGGGGCGTCAAATGGTCCGATATGCGAGGTGCCTGCTCCGAAGCAGTCTATATGATGGGTTGGGAGCGCAACGCAGATGTGATCAAACTAGCTGCCTACGCACCTACACTACAGAATTACGACCCTGTCAACGGCCAATGGACGGTAAGATGCCGATTCTCTCACAGTATATACATGTTATGCTGACTTGTCTTGGGTTAGCCCAACCTTATTCCCTTTACTAACAAACCCGATGGCATCGTTTATACTCCATCTTATCACGTCAAAAGGATGTTTGCTAATAATCATGGCGATGTTGTTGTCCCCGTTACAGCTGATGCAGAGCTCAACCCTGGTGAGTTCAGTTCGCTCACTACTCTCAAGCCTTTGATAGGAACTGACCGCGAAATTCTTGTTTCACTAGTCTGGTGGGCAGCAAGCATGAAAGGAGAGGGCCAAGTAATCGTAAAACTCGCCAACTATGCTTCCAACTCGACCGAGATTCGCATACAAATCCCTGGAAAGGCAGACGTTAAAGGATCATTTACCTCAATCACTGCCAGCCCTGATAATGCTAACTCAGTCGAAAACCCCACGCTCGTTTCCGCGCCCGCTGTGCTGGAAGTTTCTGCAGACCCTCACGGTGTTTTTACCATCGAACTGGGGCAGTTCGGCGTTGGTGTACTCGCAGCCTGAGGTAGATTTACGTCAATGTAAACCACTTGAGAAGGATCATTGCGGTGATCTTGATGCAACAAGCGCGACCGTTGGTGATTAAGCCTTTAGCGTCGATTGAGCCACCATACGACGGTCTGAACTTCGATTCATTATAAGATAGATACGGATATGGTTAGATATTGTCCATAGACTGTCTTGGCCTATTATTTCATACAACAGCCCTTGCAAAATCTTTCCCAGGAGGTGTTGCGTCGTGAAAGTGGCCAGTCAGTTAGAACGATTACATGGGTAGCTGATTTCAATCTTACCGACGGTCTAATTATCAATCCGTCCTGCAACGCCGAGTTCTGCCACCTGCTTTGTTAATCGTCATGCGGCTGAGGTGTGCGGGCGGGGGATGTCAAGTTTCAGCTCCATCTACACTCTTGTGGGGAATCATACGGACGAAGTTCGACCGAAAACTACACCTATTAAATTGAATTTTAAGCGTCCTAAAAATACTGGGTCAGAAGTCCAGCCCGACGGCAAACCAACCCGCCAAATTCAAGTTTTCTTTTGGGCTTCCACGACTGGACTTTCATTCTTTCTCTACATCACGTGTCATCTGACACGACGAATCTCAGATGGTGAACATCGCCATTGCCGGAGGAACTGGCGGCGTTGGGCGTAGCATTGTGGATGCACTCAGAAATGATCCGAGACACTCCACCATCATCCTCTCTCGTACGGTACGCCATGATCGTGCTTCCAAGAAGGCTTTTCCCTTTCATAAATTCGTTTGTGCTTACAATAGTCAATCGTAAACAGGAAGCGGCAGAAGATAAAGCTGGAGTCCCTGTTGTGGCAGTTGATTACGACGACAGAACGTCCCTGCAGACGACCTTGGAAACCCACGAGATCCACACCGTGATATCAGCTCTAGCCCTCCACATCATTGGGGTTGGCCAGGCTCAAATCAACCTCATTCAAGCAGCCGACAAGAGCAATTGTACGCAGCGTTTCATTAGTAGTAGCTGGGCAGTTAGACCGTCGAGTCAGTGAGTGAATTCCAGTCGCTGCGTGCTTTGTTTGAAAAGTATGAACCTACTGAACCAGAGTCTTTGTAGGTATTTGAATCTTTTGCCACACGGGTTCCAGCACATTGCTTCTTACAGCGAGCTGGAAAACTCACGGCTTGAATGGACAGCATTCAATTGCGGGTGGTTCCTCGACTATTACGCAATGCCCCATGTCGAGACATACATTCCGCAAACAACCTTTGTTGTTGACATGGCCAACAGGCAAGCATCCATACCTGGAGATGGAAAACAAAAAATGACATTCACCTATACCAAAGACGTCGCCAAATTCGTCGTGGAAGCTCTCGACCTAGCCACATGGGAGCACGACACATATCTCATTGGCGACGAAATGACCTGGGAAGAATTCATTGCAATTGCCGAAGAGGCTCGTGGAGGTAAAATCTAGTTCTCTAAAGTACATGCTGATCGACTTACTAAGACTTTTATTGTTGATAGGGAAGAAGTTCCATGTCACATACGATAGCGTTCAGAAGCTCCAATCTGGCGAGATCACGGAGCTGCCAGGCCAGGTTGCTGCATACTCGTACTTCCCGAAACAGTGGGCTCAACAGCTATTCTCCACCTTTGGTTTCTGGGTCACTGAAGGTCTCTTCGATTTCCCAAAGGACAGGGCCTTGAATCAGGTATTCCCACACCTAAAGGTTACTGGAGTGAAGGAAATGCTTCAGAACTCATGGGAAGGTCGGTAGTGTCTCGGAAATGGCGTCGCAATGTTATCAAAGCCACATCTCCAACTGTCTTTTCCCTCAACGTAGCTCAAAATTTATCAGTGCTTCACACTCATCACTGAGAATGGCACAATCTCAAATGGAGTTCCAAGGATCGACGCACCTCCCTGAATGAAGTGAACGTTTCATCGAGATACAGTAGATACCTGAATCGAGTATGAGCTGTTGGCTCATTGGAACCGTGTGACTAGCTAAAAGGCTCGTCTACTTGATCAATTCATCTCAAGTACATGTAATAATGAAGGTAGCAAGGTAGGGTGCCGGAGACATTGTCCCAGGTCGCCATCGCAGAACCCATATTTTCAGACAAGGACATGTTGCTCATGTGTGGTTCTTCATCTTTGTTTGCTCTCGTATCGCGAGGGGGCTGGGACCATTTGCATTACCGTAGTAATCAGGGACCTAATAAGTCCGGGACTAAATCTGGTCAGGCTGATATTGTATGGATGATGTATTAATGGGAATCTGGTATCCTAGGAAACGCCATTGACAATGGGGAGCATAGGCAAATCGTTTTAGTTGGCACAATCCCATAGGTCGCATCATAGCTTCCTAATTTGAATTTCATTTGCGGGAGCGTAAAGTCAGAGCTGAATTTCTTGAATTTCCCTCTGGATAAGATATGCACACGACTAACATATTTCTTTCATCTTGACAGTCCTCCGCCTCGGGCCCCGCGTCCAACGGTCGAATGTAACCAGGCGTGATTAATGATCATACCCACGCTCGCCTTCGCCAAAGTCTTCCAGTACAAGGATTCTTTTTCCCATACCATAGCGCCTGAGTCGAACACGGCATTAAAATTGCTCCGAGCCTAATTGCTATGGGCCTGAGTGGGGGTTCTTAGTATCAAGATCGTCTTTCCTCGGTGGGCAAGTTGTTGTTGTTCGCCACTCGGTAATAGTTTTCGAAAGATCAGCATGGATTGTGATTAGTTCCGACTGTATGATTTTACTACCGATATAAGGTTGTGCGTTAAACGGATGAATGAATTTTGATTTTCTTTCCCTGCACTCGCAGTCTTTCTGTCAACTTAATATCAAATACAATCGCAGAACATGTGGCCACTACTGCCCACCTTCTTGACTTTTTTTCAGTATACCGTGGCCCTCGAGACGACACCGAGAGTCACAATGGCTCCCTCAGAGGAGTTCAATCTTCACATTCCTGACTCCAGGATCGAAGATTTCGCATCGCTCCTCTCTGCTTCAAAGATCGGTTCCGAAACCTGGTACAACAAACACAACAATAAGGACTTTGGCACTACCAGGAACTGGCTCGCTGAAGCAAAAGACGCGTGGCTTGAGCTTGACTGGCGAAAGCAAGAAGACCGCATTAACAGCTTCCCCAACTTCAACGTCACCATTAATGACGTCGATGCTGGACCGACAAACATCCATTTCGTTGGCCTCTACTCCAAGAGAAGCGATGCCTTACCGCTACTCTTTCTGCACGGGTGGCCCGGATCTTTTCTCGAGTTTCTTCCGTTGCTCGACATTTTGAAAAGCAAATATACTCCAGAAACTCTTCCTTATCATGTCATTGTTCCCTCTCTGCCTAACTATGGACTTTCCGGTGGGCCAATCGATATTGAACTCACGCTTGAAATAGCGGCGAGGCTGATGAATGAGCTTATGATCACTCTTGGCTTTGACTCAGGCTATGTTGCCCAGGGCGGCGACATCGGCAGCTTCCTCGCTAGAATTCTGTCAGCGAATCACCCACAGTGCAAAGCCTTCCACAGTAAGCAATATTGGCTCCATACGTTCAGTGGGTGTTCAGATTTGTACTAATACTGAGGCAGTCAATATGCTTGCTCCATCATCCCAAGACGAGCTTCTTACGACGGTCAACATCACCGAAGATGAGGCACAGCACGTACAGCGAATGCTGAACTTCAGCGCTACCGGGTCGTCGTATCTTCTGGAACATGGTCTCAGACCCTCGACGATCGGCCTCGTCCTATCATCAAGCCCACTTGCCATGTTGGCCTGGTAAGCTCCATATCACGGATTGACTTGCAAGATACTGTCGTTGCCTAACATTATCTAGGATTGGCGAGAAGTTCCTCGAGTGGCCTGATTCCCGTTATCCACTTTCTGTTGACACAATTCTCACTATGGTAAGCTTTTACTGGTACACAGACACTTTCCCAAGTAGCATGTATCCCTATCGTGCTCTCGCGAGCGCAGCAGCAGCAAATGTCCTCTTTTCTGTTGCAACGTCTAAAGAAAAGCCATTTGGCTATTCGGTTTTTCCAGCAGAGAACATTCTCTTGCCGAAAGCGTGGGCTGAGAAGGCCTATCCAAATCTTGTGTTTTACAAGCGCAATGACAAGGTATGCCCGATTCCATCAATAAATTTTGTGTTCATGTTGTACATCTAACGTTTGAACTTACACAGGGGGGACATTTTGCGGCATTAGAGCAGCCCAGAATCTTCCTGCAGAATATTGAAGAGTTTCTAGCGGTTGCTCGACCACTGATTGGGCTTTGATGGTTTGGCGTCCAGGCGTGTGAGGTCGTCCACTTCTGGTCGTCCTTGAAGGATTGAACTACGAATTATCTCGTGTTAGTCATACTCTTCATCACAGTGGCACAGATAATTCCGGGTCACCAGTGCCTTCCGAAAGTCGTAATATCGATGGAATTTGAACCTATACTAGATTATCTGTCCTTTTTGTTCCAGTTTGCTTTCTTCAAATTCGCTATCCTGGCGGGACTATACAACTGCGATCCCCGTAATGTCACCCAACTCCGAAAATAATACAGTCTTCTTGTACGTTTTCGTATCAACAGAGTAGACGCCGCCGGCAAGGTCTGTCACGTAGGCTAGCCCCTCCCGCTGGTCCAACGATAGACCAATGGTTTCGTATAATCGTATTACCAGAGTTTCCTATTTCTCGCCATCAGGCATCATGGCTCGGTTAAGTGAATTACCAGCAGGAGGATCTCCTCGATCTGTCCAATATAGCGTGCCACTTTCCTCGTCGATGTCGAGATCAATTGGCTCGGGAAGCTCGCCGATCACCATCTCGATTTGACGGAGTCGGTCTTCGAAAGAGGCATGTATAGGTGCGCGGAAAATCCGCCCTTGGTTGCCCTTGGATGGTCCTTTCTGTGTCCAGTAGAAGACGTTTTGCGGTTCATCTACAGCAATGCCAACGCACCACCTTCTTTGATCCACCCTCTCTTCATCGGTATTGCCGGTTGAGACGAGGACCTCGACATCAGACCCGTCGAAATTGGACCGCATGACCTTCATACCCTCCCGGTCGCACCAGTACAGCTTCATACTCTGCTTGGCAATAGTGATTTGCTTCGGCGTGAAGACGCCAACAGTACCTGCTAACACAATGATTTGTTGGTCTGAACCATCCAAGTTGGCGCGCTCAATTGAGCCGTCGTTGGACTTCAAGCTAGATCCCATGTTGGTCCAGTACATATGACCTTTGGCATGATCAATCACAATACCGTCGGGTAGAGTTGTCATGTTGTCGACTACTGTTTGAAGGTCGCTTCCGTCTGTTAGACATGATAAGATGCGCCCACGGCGACTTTGGAGAGGGTGAGATAGGTCGGTGTCGAGGATGTACAGGCGTTGTTGGATTGGAGAGCCCATGTCGCCTGCCCAACGAGGGTTACAATTAAGGTGTGGGATGGCAATGCACAGTTAAGATAGTCAGTTGATCGAGAAACTTGGGTCGATCGTCTTTTCAGAATCAGATATATGACCAAGAACTTGTTTTATGACTTGGCACTTCCTGAGTGGGGGCGTATTTGTTTGCATGAAAGCCTTCGAATTATTAGATGAAGTGGAAAAGTTTGCGTTTTCGTTGTATCGTCATTGCCCTGCTTTGCGCGTCGATTCGCTCCCGGCCACTCCTGGATTCCCGATAAAGTCGGTATTCGCACTTCGGTCTTCGTAACACGCGCACAGCGTTATTATGTCCACACTGTTGTCATGCAACACGGACCCGACCTCTTCTAAACGGGATTAATTCCATACTGATCAGGGAGCCTCCCCTTCTACTAATAAGTCTATACATAAACTAATAATAACCCCCCCTAGTTAAGGTAAGAGTCCTATATATAATAATAAGTACTTAGATATTAATAAATCCTAGCTAAATTTAACTAATCGGACTTCGTTTTTTTTTTTTTTTTAAAATACTCGGGCTAAAAATATTTTAGAAATAAATTATAGCTAATTAGGGTACTACTACTTAATTAATAAGAAATAATTCCGACTTATACCTTTTTTTTACCCTAGCTAAGTTACGTCCCTTTTTTTAAACTTTTACCCTTTATTATAACTTTTATTATAAATTTTTATTACGAAACTTATTATCGTACTCGAAATTTATTAATAATTAATTAAAAATATTTTTAAATTAATTTTACGATACTTTCTTATTATTATAATAGTAATAGCTTTAAGTTCTATATTAATAATAAAAGGGGCCGGCCTTAGAATTTCTCTATATTCGAAACTAATAGTATAAGTTCTATCCTTATTATTATAATTAAATATATAATTTATTTACTTATTTTTATAATAATAAAGTTAATTAATCCTATTATTAAGAGAACTTTATTATTATTATTTAGAAGCTAATAGCTTTTACCTTAATAATTATTACTAATTATCTTTTAATATATTTAAAAAGTACTTTAAAGAGGGTTATTATATTAATTCCGTAATTTCTTATAAGGGATCCCTCTTAACCGTTATTAATTTTAAAATTACTTATAAGTTATTTCTTATTTTATATTAATATTTTTAGTTTTATTAATAATCTTTTATAAAATACTATACTAAAATAATATTACTTATAAAGGGCTAAGATACGCCCTTAAATACCCCCTAAAAGCCTAAGGTTATTATAAATAATAAAGCGTTATTTACTATTTTTTTTAAAAAGAATAGTATTATAAATAGAAATATTTTCGAAATAGTTTTAGTTTATAAGACTAATTATTTTTAATAGGACGTTATTTAAATAAAAATAAATATTAAGCTCGGCCCTGAGGAGAGCTATAAGGTTTATAAATTATAAGATATTATTAACCGTAATAAATATAACTTATTCTTTAATTAACGCTCTTTTTAATTAAATTTTATAACTTACTCTCTCCCTAATAAATACGAGCTAATTTATTTAGTATTTTATAAGTATTATTATCCTAAGCTCGTATTAAATAAAAATATTTTTAATAAGTTATTCTATTAATACTTATATATTATTATACTTAATATTAATTATTTTTAAAAATTTTTAAAACCCCTAAGTAAATAAGCCGGAATAGTAAAGTAATTAAAAATAAGCTAGTCTAGCCTACCCCTATTAATAATTCTAATAATAATAAGACGGATTTTTAAATAAACCCCGCTACTTCTACTTAGATTTTTATTAAAAATATAAATAAGTAAAAAGCATAATTAAGAACTAAGGGATAATAAAAAATAATTAGTCTAGGGAAGTTTATAAATAAAAAGTTTATTAAAATAGAAGTATTTTACTTACTTTTTTAAAATAGTACTATATAAATTAAAAATGCTATAGTATTATAAATAATTATTCATAATAAATATATAAATAGAGGTTAAGGCTATAAATATTAAGTAAATAATATATTAATTATAAATATTTCTTATAAATTTCCTATAAATTTCCTAAAAATTTCCTAAACGTTTCCTAGAAATTTCCTAAAAATTTCTTAAAAATTTCCTAAACGTTTATTAGAAATTTCCTAAAACTTTCCTAAAGATTTCTTTAATATATATTAAATATTTCCTAAATATTTCCTTAATATGTTTTAAATATTTCCTTAATATATTTTAAATATTTCTTAAATATTTCTATTTTTCTAATTTCTATAATATTTATAAATATAAATTAATTAATAAATAATAAAATAATAAATTATTAACTTATTTTAATATATTATAAGCTTATTATATAATTATATATTTAATATAACTTATTATTTATTAATTAAGTGCTAAAGGGTTAGGCTTAAAAAGAAAATTTGAAATTTATAAATCTTAAATGCCCACTGCCTTAGCTAGCTTTTTACTTACTAATGGCAAGTGAAAAGATTTTAATCCTAAATACCTATATTAACTACCTAAGCTAACTTTTTACTCGCTATTAACGAGTTAAAGAACAATTTAGGATTTATAAACCCTAACTACTTACTACTTTTACTAACTTTTTATACGCTATTAGCGAGATAAAAAAATATTTAAAATTTATAAACCCTAAATACCCGGGCTAACCTTTTACTCGCTATTAATAAGTAAAAGAAATTAAGTATTAAATACCTCGTTTAACTAGCCGAGCTAACTTTTTACTCGCTATTAGCGAGTAAAAGAATTTAGGTATTAAATACCTCGTTTAACTAGCTAAGCTAGCCTTTTACTCGCTATTAGCGAGTAAAAAAAATTAAGTATTAAATACCTCGTTTAACTAGCCGAGCTAACCTTTTACTTACTATTAGCGAGTAAAAGAATTTAGGTATTAAATACCTCGTTTAACTAGCCGAGCTAGCCTTTTACTCGCTATTAATAAGTAAAAGAAATTAAGTATTAAATACCTCGTTTAACTAGCCGAGCTAACCTTTTACTCGCTATTAGCGAGTAAAAGAATTTAGGTATCAAATACCTCGTTTAACTAGCCGAGCTAGCCTTTTACTCGCTATTAGCGAGTAAAAGAATTTAGGTATTAAATACCTTGTTTAACTAGCCGAGCTAGCCTTTTACTCGCTATTAGCGAGTAAAAGAAATTAAGTATTAAATACCTCGTTTAACTAGCTGAGCTAACCTTTTACTTGCTATTAGTAAGTAAAAGAATTTAGGTATTAAATACCTCGTTTAACTAGCCGAGCTAGCTTTTTACTCGTTATTAGTAAGTAAAAGAAATTAAGTATTAAATACCTCGTTTAACTAGCCGAGCTAACCTTTTACTTACTATTAGTGAGTGAAAGAATTTAGGTATTAAATGCCTCGTTTAACTAGCCGAGCTAGCCTTTTACTCGCTATTAGCGAGTAAAAGAATTCTAAAATCCATAACCTAATTAACTTTAATTATATTTCTTACTCTAATCCCTTTAATAAATAAAAATAATAGTAAATCTATTACCTTTTGTTTTAACTTTCCTTTTTAAATCTACTATAGAGCCTTCGTCGTTTTAGGATTCTTTTTTATTAAAATCCTATTTACTATACTCGTTTTTGCTATATTATATAGGTCCTATATAAACGGTACCCTCTTCGCTAATAAACTATAAACTAACTCTATTTTCTTCCTTTTTAATAAACCGAGACCTCCCCGTTCTTTCCTAGCCTTTAGCTACTTATACTACGAGTTAATATTCTTTAGTAAAAATATTAAAACGCCTAATCCTAGTATATTAACTAGAATCCTTAGCGTAGTAAACTAATAAATCGTATCCGAAAATCCTCGCTCCTTTTCTAAGCCTAGTTCCTTTGTAAAATAGCTCGCTAAGTAGCTATTAATACCCTTCCCCTAGCTAGTTATAAAACTATTCTCTTATAAAAAGCTTTATAACCGTAGTACCTCGGGCCCGCTTTATAAATAAAGATCTTTTAAATCGACCTATAACTTCTAAAGCTTATATTATTATATATATATCTAGATTTATATAAAAGCTATCTTTACCCCGGTAAATATATTTATAACACTCCCCTACTACTTAACTAAAAAAGCTAATTTTAAGTACTTTAATTTAATAAGCGTTTTTATAAGTCCTTTAACTTTTAGGACTCTATTACTTATTAAAGAGGAGATTACTTCGTACTTAGCTAATAAGTAATATAAATAATCTTTAGAAGTTTCTCTAAATATCTAGTAAAAAAAAAGTTCGCTAATATAATAATAATTATCCTCTTATAGTTTGAGGTTCCCCTCCCCTAGCTCCCTCCTTATATCTTAGAACGCTATCTAGGACTCTAACGTTCTTTTTAATATATCTTTTTTTTCGATCTTTTTTTTTAATACTTTAAGTATCCTAAGTACTCGTATAGTTATCCTAGCTATATCGGGTATCTTAGGTAATATAGCCGCCTATTTATAAGTATCTTATCTCTTCCTCTTTTATAAAATAGTTATAAATAGTTCTTATACCTCTTTTATAATCTCGGTACCCTTAGTCGCTTTACTAATAGATATATCTTCTCTTTTTTATCTTATAATAACTACGGGTTCGGGAAGTTTCGTACTTTTACTATCGTTAGGGCTATTATCTAGCTACGCTTTTGAAGTCTTCTCTCTATACCGTTCGATTATTTTTTTAACTTAGTTTTTTATTTCTAAGTATTAGGCTCGCTCTTATATTAAAAGTTAGAAATACTTACGGATAACGCCCTAATTATAGCCTAAATCGTCTAAGACTACCGCTAGCTTCGTAATATAAACTACGTACTTATTCGTCTTATTATATTAGTTTAGATCCTCTCTAAACTTAGAGATTAGTTTCTAAAACCGGTTACTATTTTATAATAGTCTTAAAAATATCGACTTTAATAGTAAACGTATTAGTAGGCTAGATAATACTACGCTTAAGTCTCTATTATTTTATAGTATTAGATAAGTCTATTTTATAGAGTTATCTAGTAGTTTCCCAAAAACAATTTTATTAAAATGTACTATTTTTCGTTTTAAAGGCCTTATTATAAAGCTAAGAGTATATAAAAACGTAAGTAAAAAAGTAAGAAAAGAGAGAGTAGAGGAGAGGGTAAAAGAGGGGAGGGGGAGTACTAAACTCCTTATTTACTATTAATTTATTCGCAATATTTCTATCTCATTACCTACATTCCTTATTAATCTCGATATTACTGTAATACTAACCCTTATAAAAGTATTATTACGCTTACTTTTTATATTATTTTAAAACAAAAACCGCTACATAGCCCATTTAAGATTTATAAAAATCTAATTATAATAATATTCGCTTTTATAAATCTTAAACGGGCACCTCTCCCTCGCTTAAGTATACTTTCCTTATACTTACTTTTCTTAATAATAATAAAATAATATAAGCCTATAAGGGGGTCCTAGGTAATTTTAGATATACATACGTACTTAGCTTAGATATCTAGGGATACGGGTCTATAATTAGGTATAAGTAGAAGGTATCTAGCTTAGAATAGTTAAAATATACCGAGGATAGCCCCTATATTCTAAGTAATAGTATATTAATTCCTTATATAGCTAGTTTTAATAAGCGAAGTAATACGTCGTTATTAGTAGCTAAGGTATTTAATAAAATAGCCGTTAACTAGCTTAGAGGTAATAACTTATACTTATACGATCTTAGCTACCTATAGAGGCTAGATCGTCTATTCTAAGTCTTAGGGTTAGCTTTAGAGCTCAGAACGAGATTATAAGGGAGGTAAGTGCGCTAATATATTATAACCTAATTCTATTTATTTATTATAGGCCTTATTAAAGATACTTAAAAAAAAAAGAGACTATATTATAAAAAATCGGAGAGTTATAAAAGCCTAATAATATCTTAATTAAAATAAGTAAATCTGGGCTATAAGTAGTCCTTTATTCCCTACGTCTTTATTAATCCCCGGTTAATAGCTATTTTAGTCCCGTTACTAAAATTACCTAGCCTCCCTCTTAATTAGGCCGCACGTATAACGCACCCTTATTATATCCGGCCCTATAAACGATATAAACTAGGGCCTAGCCTAAGGCCGGGCTACTACCCTATAAAAGAGCCTTACCCCGGGCTCTACTATAGCTAACGTTATCTTTATATCCCTTTATAACCTCTAGGACGCTAACTTTACCCCTAATAATAACAAGACCTATAATAATAACTCTTATGAAAGCCTTTATAAAAAAGTTAACCCCTAGGACCTTTATAAAAAAGAGGTCGACCCCCGGGACTAAGAACCGGTCTCCCTAACGCGTCTTATATAACTAAAGATCGTAAATAGTAATATTAATAATAACGACGTACTCTCTACTATTATACTATTAACTATTTATACCCCTAACTTATAAAACCTACTTAGCTATATTAATAAGGATCTAATTACTAGCTAGGTAAAAAATAAGAGCCTTACCCCGTAATCTAAACTTACCCAAAGGATCGTTACTATTACCTACCTCGGCCTCGTTTTATACTACGCTTATTATATACTATAAAATAAGCTACGACCTTATTACTAAACGTCGTCCCTAGATACCCCGAGTAATACTAGCCCTTACGGCCTTATAAAGCTTACGAAATATATAATAAAAAACGCTTTTTAAAAAAAAGAGGTTAAGAGTATCGGACTAGATCGCTAAGAACTACTATTTTATTTCTAATAACAGTTCCCTAACTAGAATATACTCCTTAATAAAAATATGCTCAAAGTTATTACTTATAGGATACCTTACGAAAACTTATCTTTAGAACTTAACGTATTTCTAAACGTCAATTATAATACCAATACCCAGATTTATCGTACTAAGTTTAACGTTAATAGCTTCTTAAATATTATCTAAAATATCTAAGTATTTAAAAATTCTATTAAGTATATACTAATCCGCTAGCCCATAAGGAAGTTCTATAAAAGTATATATATTACGTATCCCATTAATAACCTAATTACGAATAAGCTCGAGAACGTATAACTTTACTAAATCCCGTATACTTACTTTAGGTCTATTTAAAAATAGACAATATATATCTTCTTTTCTAGTATTTATTACTATACGAGGTTACGACCTAGTAACTAAAATAGCGCAACGTAGCTCATAAAAAACGAATATTATATATTCTATAACGAGATTATAATACTAAGTATAATAGCAATATTCCCCGAATCGATAATAAGCTATATTATACTATCTTACTAAAATATCTATAATAAGGCTAGCTTCTCTTAAAACATATTAACGCATAGCGGTCTCCCTCCTTACGGCTTCCCTCTCCCATCCTCCCTCCTTCCCTAGCTAAGTATAAGCCTCTAGTCTATTCTAACTAATTTAATACCTAACCCCGATAGCAATAATCCTAAGGCCGATACGGTTTCGGCACCTATACTTAAAAACTTTTTTTTCTTATTTAATATTAAAAATATTAAAGTCCGGTACGGCGGTATACGTAATTTAGAATATTATATTATAAACTTCTAAACAAAATAACGCTAAGTTATCGAACCGTCCGTTATTTACGATACTAAGTAACTATAGTTCTTTAATATCGTTATTAAGTAGTCGCCCGGTACGTATAAGTAGGCTACTATCTTCCTTGCTTAAAGGTACTACTAGGTTAATACCCTTAGGTTCTTTTATGGCTAAGTAAACGAAGCCCTTAGGTCTATCTTTTTATTTACAAAGTTAACCCCGCTAGGGTTATATAAGATCCGCGGGGGCTAGTATTACTATTATAATATTAATTTATTCCGAGACTCTATAAGCTTAATTACGGAGCCCGCTAGTAAGCTCCGGAGATATAGGCTTAACTATTTTTAAAACTATACCGTTATTAAAAAGGTATTAAACGCGGCCGGAAAGAAGCTATATAGTAGCGAAGTCCTCTTTTATAGTAGGTACTCTAATAGTATTATAATTTAAATAATCTCTAAATTATTAGAGGCCGTTTTATTACGGAAGTAATTTAACGAGCTCTTATTTAAGTCCTATAAGTTCTTTTAGGAATCCGTAAAATCTAACGATAAGTACTATTTTTTATAGAGAGCGGAGTAGCGGTATATAAACTCTCTAATAAGACTAGTTATTATTAAGGACGAGACTTAGCTCTCTTATAACGATTTTACGTTTTTAGCTAGACCTTTAAATCCCCTACTTAGCGACCCCGCGGCCTAGGGCCCTTTTATTACCTAGGGCCCCTTTATTACCTAAAGGCTTAGGCTAGTTAATAACGCCGCGTTTTATTATATTCCCTCCCCTAAATACTAATAGTTCGTTTACCGTACTATCGGCTTTTATATTTATATAATAAACCTCGTTTTTATTTATTACTATAGTAAAACCGTACCCCTAATTACGTCGCTCTTCTATATAACTTTAGTAACGCTTATATAGTCTTTTATTAACCCTATTAACCTACGTTTCCGCTATATTATAATAAATCCCTATAACTTAGACCTTATATCCGGGCTACTACTATATATACTTAGAACTAAGAAAAAGAGGGGCCTCGGCCTTTTAATTACTATTAAACAATAAAGCTTTAGTTTTATCCCTAAGAGGATTATTAACTAAGAAAACCTCTAGCTATATTTTATAATAAAGTTTAACTTTAGTATCCCAGGATTAAGAACGAGCGTTAATAAGACTAAGTATTTCGTAGTTAAAGACTTACTAAAGAGCTTATTCTCCCTCTTATTCTATTTCTTAGTTATAAATAAAAAAAGTACTAAAGTTAAAGTTATTCTTATACTTATTTCGTACCTTATTTTCTACTATTATTATAAAGCTGCGCTCAAAAGTATAATATTTAAAAACAGGCTAAAAGAGTAATAATAAAAGATTAATAAAAATACTATCTCCTTTATATTCCCTATACTTTAATACTATATTACTAAATATAGCTAGCTAGTTATTAAATCCGGGTTTAATTACATAGTAAAGTAAAGGACGCTCAATTAGTTCTAAGAATTTATATAAAAAGACCTTCTTTACGACCCCTCTATTAGTACTATAAAACTTTAATTATAAACTACTTTTAAAAATAACGACTAGCAACGCTTTTAATAAAGCGCGCGAGACGCTATTATTTCTAAGGTTAAAAATACGTTTAAAAGGAGTACTAACTAAGTCGCTACGTTTAAAAAAAAGTATAAAGAGCTCTTTTTTATATATTATACTACGTTCCCCTACTTAGCTAAGAACGGTAAACTATTTAAATAAAGAAACGCGCCGTTTTTTAAGGCCCTCTTTTATATAGTTATCGATCCTAGGGGAGGGCTTAAAATAAGTATAAACCTAAAAAAAGAGCCTAAAACGGACGCTATACCCATCCCTACTTACTATAACGAGGTATAAATAGCAAATAATATTAAAAAGCTAATAAACGCCGCCTAATAATAATCAAAACCGACAAAACTACCTAACCACAAGGGCCTACTAAGAGTCCGGGAGTATATTAAATAAGGGAATACATAAGGGAATAAATAAAAAATAGGCGCTAACGCGTCGCATCCCTACTATAGCGCGACCTATATTTTATATACTAGCTTAAATACTATATACTAATTAAAAATAAACTACCGCGAGCCCGGTATAATAATATAGCACTAATAACCCAATTCTCATAAACGCTAAGATAAATAAATACAAATACATCTACTTAAACTAACTTATACCAAACCTCATCTTAAAACTACTTAACACTAAGAATACGAATTTCTTAGTATTATTAAAATATAATTTTTAACTTATTCGAGATCTATATATATCTTAACTTATATAGATCTTAAATAGACCCTTAGCTAACCCGACGTAAGGATTAGGCAACAGAGAGTAACTAATAGCCTATTTAAAATTTATAAAAAGCAAAAGTCTAGACTTATAAATCTTAAATAGAACGCGTTACGAATTAGATCGCACAGTAATAAGTATACGGGGTATAGTAAAGTAGCTTAACCTATTTAAATAGAAATATATAAAAATATCCCTCTTACATATTATTACTCAGAGTTAATAATAGTAAGGATACGAGCGATCTACTTATAAATATCGTAACTATAGAGCGAAATTTTTTACTAGCTAGCTCTCTTAGTCTTCTTTCTTAATTAACGATTCTTATAATTAACTCGGGATTAAAAAACTTAAACTAAGAGCATATCTTATTTAGTTTATTACTAAAAGAGGTAATTTTCTAAATACGGAGCTAACTAAGCTCGGTTTTAAGCCCGCTAAGTTACTTAGTTAAATTATCCTTATTCTTATTTTAAAGAGCGGTCTTAAGCTCGCTAAGTCGCTTAGTTAAATTATCCTTATTTTTATTTTAAAGAGCGACGGTCTTAACCTTTCTAGATAATTAGAATATAGTAGATTCTCGTTAGCGAAGCGGGTTTTCGTTTTTCTTACGTAACTCCTTCTAAGCAGATCTCGCTACTTTTAATATTCGCTTTTCGTTAAGTAGAGGATATTTTAAGCGCGGGGAATTAGGGATTTAACAGAAAACTCGTATCGGTTTTTTTAATAGCGCCCAAGGGCCTATTTAAAATTTATAAAGCACTAAATCTAGACTTTTATAAATCTTAAATAGTACCCGGCCTATAGAGGGCGCCCGAGGGCCTATTTAAGATTTATAAAGCGCAAAAATCTAGATTTTTATAAATTTTAAACGGCACCCGGCCTATAGAGGGCGCCTAAGGGCCTATTTAAGATTTATAAAGCGCAAGGGCCTAGAATTTATAAATCTCGAATAGGCCTCTAGGCCAGAGGCTTCCTATTAGATCATAATAAAACCATAACTATAGCGTAATATATAGTGCTTAGTAATAATATATATAACGGGTTAGGGTTAGGGTTAGGGTTAGGGTTAGGGTTAGGGTTAGGGTTAGGGTTAGGGTTATAAATCCCTACGGAAGATTCAAGACTTTGGTGATTTGCCGTAAGAGAAGCAGCAATGAAACAAGGTGAGAATCATCACGTAGCACTTTCAAGGGTCTCGTAGAATTTAGCCTTGTTGCCCGCTTGA